TAGAAAGTGGAAGATTAGGAATGTCATGGAGGGGAAAGCCAAGAGATGAACATTGTTGCTTAAGGCAGATTAGTCTGAAATATTTTTATTACCTGCATGCAACCCACATCACAACACGAACTCCACGTTTATGGCTCTTCCAGTGTCGCAACCTGCAAACATGCTGGAGTTCTGCAGCAGTGCCGGTGCTGTCTGAAAGGAAACCTAGTATAAAAAAAGTGAGTGATTCTTATAGAGCCAGGTGATAAAACGATAAAAATAATTATCGTGCAAAAACTTTCCAAGATGGCATTACTAAACAAGGTCAATATAAACTGCATGGAGCTTATCCAAATCCATTTTTTTTTTTTTTTTTTACTGACAACACTGAAGGCCAATGACAGTAAGAATAGTCAGCACATGTGCTAACGTTTGGGCTGCTACACACTACAGTATATTAGGAATTCGAGTGAGATAAAAGAGAAAATGAGAACAAAGACTGTTATTGAAAAATCAAACGACTTTGTTACCAAATATGACACTGCAGTGGATACAACCTGATACTCAAAGGATTAGGACACTATTGAGGAATTAATGTGGCGATATTTTGGCTATTTAAAGTCTGACAAAGAAGCAGAGCAGTATACACTGTAAACTGTGTTGAAAACATGTTTCCACAATGGCGGCTTACACACATTACAAGACACGATGTCGGTAAACATGGTCCAAAATGTCATATTTTAAGCAGCTGAGTGCAAAGCGCACACCTGGCCCATTTATGAGCCTCACTACCCAGTACTGCACTTCATGTGGCCAACAATTTGAAAGAGTTTGTCTATATACTACAACAGTATTTATTTAAAATACAGTTACAGTGTTGCAGTACATTTATCATGTTCAGCTTATGACAAACTCATGAAGTTCATTTTGGTTTAAATATATATATCGTGATTATATATCAATATTGACTGATGTGAGGAGGGAAAATCACCAAGATTTTTTTTCTCCATTTTTACCCAGTCTTGGATCATTATATGAGAGACTATTACAGACATATATATTGTAAATAATCAGAGGATACTGAATTACACAGTGGCCTTTCTTCTCCAGGTATTTGACAAATTGAATGACATTGACACACAAAAGCTGTTTGCCTCTGAAAATAGCTTTTTATATGTTGGGACTTGTACAGCCATTCCTGAGTGGCTAATATATGAGCACAGGAGGAGCATGCTGCTGACTCCATTCGCTGTTTTCACTGCCTTCAGCTACAAGTGTCTTTTGGGTTCTTTGATCTCAAATCACTGTGGGCCTTCACCTCAACCATCCCCAATTTTGCCTAAAAATATTATGTTCCCATTTTTGGACTTCTATATAATGATTTTTTTATTTCAAATACTTTTCGAAATACTTTTGTCAAACCACTTGCAGCAATTTTCTTGTTGTTTTTGTTTGAACATGAATATCTCAAAAACTAAAGATACAAACCTGAAATTTTCAGTGCCCTTTCTTACCATCAAAATGAATCAATAGCTGTGAAATTGGGATAGACGGATCAAAAAACGTCTCAGTATTGAGGACTAAAAAAAAACAAAAAACTTAAGCAGTCTTATAAAGCCCCGTATTTGACCGCAGACTCATTAGAATTAAACATTAAAAAGATGTCAAAACACAATTGGTGACAATTTCTGAATAGTATATAGTTGAATTTCACAATAATGCAAAACAAAACATGCTGAATACATTTTTACATGAAATTCTTAGTCAAAAAAAGAAGAAAATGCTATTTTCTTCATTACACTTGTTCAAGCTGTGGACCATAAAATGTTTATGCAAATCAGAGATGGTCAAACTGAAAATAGTTTATTATTTGAGATTGAAGGACCATCTTAGAATCTGTCAGGTTACTGTAAAGTCATCTCTAATCTAACCAGTATGTGATCACTCATAACAACAGCCCTTCATTCAGACTTGCCACTCGTGGTGAGCAGTAAGCTGCAGGAACACCTAACCAGAATTTGGCTGACGGGTTATTGTACGCGGATGAGCACCAGCTCATTCATTACTTTGAGTTTATTTGCAGACTTTTATTGCCACAAGCTGAAATACAGATTTAAACCTTTTCTCACAGATGAGGTGTTTAGCACTGCAAGCAGAATTGGTCTATAAATGGCGCTGTGTCATTCACATATAAGCCACTTTGAATTTTATGATCCTGCCCCTCGCACCCAGTGTCTGAGTGAGAGAGCTGATTTCTGATTGAGACTCGAGCTCAGAGACATATGTTATAACTTGACTATGTACACTTGTAATTTGTGCATGGCTGTCTGTTAATGCATGCACTGGATTAATAGACTTGAGCTATGGTAGAAGTGGTGCATAAATATTACTGGATTCACACTGATAAGATTGCAGGTGTGCCAGCGATGGAAAAGTGACAGATTTCACTGATTCACATTCATATAGTATGCGTTTAATGGAAAGGAGTTTTAATAGCTTTTAGACAATGCTTACCCCATACCTTAGTAATAAAAACCCTGTTAATTCTGTGCTTTTCAAAGATTAGCTAGGGAATAGAAATCAGAACTGAATGGGTTACGTTTGGGTTGTTCTTCTCATGCTGTTTGCTTGTTCTCATTTTACACAGGAATAAGTGAACCACTGTGCCATTCTCTCTGGCAGTAGCCCCTGTTTCCTTTGTGCCCTGTGGTAATCTTGTCCCAAAAAACATCCAATAAGCCCTCTATCCCCAGCTCCTAAAATGACCTGCAATCCTTCAGTGCAACTCTGAGCTCTTAAAGCCCCTCATTTAATCTCCCATCCAATAAACTTTCGAGACCAGCATACCCATTACAGGTTGCATGAGGTCAGCGATGTTTGCACCAATGGCTGCCCTTGTAAATAACATAAAGCAGCAGTTCTGACTTGTTCTGCTTGTGTTGTTTTGGAATCTTCTATGTTCCAAAGAACAACAGTTTAATCCTCATATTTTTATTTATTTATCTTCTTGTATGATGGCCATTTTTAATCACAGTGCTGATAAGAGTGGAGCTCAAAGGATCAATCGAAATTACTTCCTTTCAAGATTAACTGTAATCACTGTAGTTTTTAACCTAACCTCTTCTTCTGTATGCTAATGAGCATTTCCATTCATTAAGAGAGTTTATAAGGATGTATAGATGGCTCATTCCAGTCCTTTTCTATCACTGCTTCCTTTCTTAATGCTCTTAGTTTGTTGGCTACATGTCTTGGGTCAGCAAGGGCAAAGCTTAGTTTTGATGGCAGCGATTCAGCCTGCGCTTGAACAATTGACAATTAAACAAGAATACTGAGGTAGGAGAGAGGGAAGGGGAAAAAATGAAAGGAAGGGAAAACAATTCATTGCATTGTGTTGTTGGCACATGGGCGGAGCAGTTTGGGCTGGTTTACAGAAAAGGAAAGGCTAAAAAGAGGCAGAGGGCAAGAGGTGCAGCCACTGAAATGATCATTGAAAGATGATGTCCCGTCAATGCACAAGGCCCTGAATCAAACACGCACTGTACTTGGCAGTTCGTCCCACACACACACACGTGGCAATGTTGAAGAAGGAAAAGAGTGGGGAGAGCAGTGAGCGCTGTGTGAAAAAGGTAAGGAGAATGGATGAGAAGTGGATTAGTCTGATTTATGACGTGTTATTTATTGAGATTAAAATGATATTGAGAGTATCGGTGCTTGGGTGGAATTGAAATGGAAGGAGAAATGCTCAGCTAATCAGCTAGCATCCTAACCAGATAATTTCTGATGAGTTTTAACTATTTAACTTGCCCAGCTGCATGTGCAGTTTGGCTTTCTGAGAGCTTTAATGCTGCATTGCTTTCCTTTCCATGCCTGTTTATTAAGGTGCACATTTTCCAGGCTGAATCACCAGGGTTTGGGCTCTACTTAAGAAATGCCTCAGAGATCACAAAGCAAAAAATGGGGGAAATGTGTATATTGATGATGATTTCAGATCGTAGAGGTGACTTTTGAGTGAACAGCAGCTCTCGCTCATGAAATTTACCGAATGTCTCCACACATTATGAGAATAAATAAGTCAATACATACAAAGCCTCCTGGTATTTTACTCGTACATATGCGCACGCACGCACACACACACACACACACACACACACACACACACACACTCTCACTCAAAAGGACATCTTTTTGTGAGGATGAAAATTATTTAAAAATGAGTACATGCTCAAAGAACTGATGCTCTTTCAGCTGCTTTTTTTTTTTTTTTTTTTTTTTTTGCCTTGTGCAACATCCATTAGACATCCATGTGGCAATGTAAAAGCCTTTCTTTCTATGAATTTATGGACACCATTATTGCTCATTTAATAAAAGCAACCTGACTAATAAAAAGAGGTTTTAATGCATATACACACACACACTGGCAGTTTTTGTTCTTGTCGTGTGGCTTTATTGTAGGAATAAGTCAGCCATTCATGTGCTGTAATATTATCACTGGATGAATTATGATGCACCAAGTCATTGGCTTTGATGCAACACTGAAAGATAGGCTCATGGTCAGTTTAGTGTCCTGAAAGCGGCAAATAGCCAAACACATCCCGCTCATTTTCACAGAACCAGAATGAACTGGTGCACCTCGCGTGGCCTTGTCACTGCTTGATAATAGCCTCATTGTCTCTTTTATCTTTCAGAGTCAGAGTGAACTCAAAGGCAGTCTCCCTCCTCAGAGACTATAGTGAACTTGTTCTCTCTCTGTTTATTGCCTGTCTTATTTATCTATTTTATTGATCTTCTCTTATCTGTAAAACATTTTTCACTCAGGATAGCATTCTCTTAATCAGGAGCTTAACATGAACCTAGAGTAACCTGAGCTAAAAAGCAATCAGTTTATTAAAGATGCAAAGTTTTCTTTTCCTGGCTTTCAAATTGCTTTGTGAGTCCTGTTTGTGAATAGTTTTATTTAAATACATTTTTCAAAGCTCAATTCAGATTGCCTGAATGTTTCTGCTCTCCTTCTCCACCAACAGATCCAGTTTGCAGACCAGAAACAGGAGTTCAACAAGCGTCCCTCCAAGATCGGACGGCGCTCTCTGTCCCGCTCCATCTCCCAGTCCTCCACAGACAGCTACAGCTCAGGTAAACAGACAGATTTTATGTTTGGGTGACTCATCCTGATTATGATAGCTATTATTTTTGGTGTCAGTGTGCTCACAGTAATGTCTTGTCATCGACTCAAGTAACATTATTCTTACCTGCTCAGCTCCACTCTTCTCAGTTTGTCCTCATGAAACAAAGAGCACAGGAGTGAGACTTGAAAGTTGGTAGCATGGTAGAGGCTCTCACACTGAGCCAAATAAAGTCGGCCTTGTTGGGAAGTTGCGAGCAGTGGTGGAAGAAACGCTGAACAAAATATAGCAGGGCCGTGCAAGCCTTGTTGGCACAGACATCTAAGACTAAAGCAGTGTCTTTACAGCACAAAGTAAATAGACTAAAATGACCTGTTTGTTTAAGTATATAGTGTAGACTTCATCACAGTGTCTCTCTTTCGCCATACCTGCATTCCTGTCTTAAACTATAGCCTGTTACTCAATCACTTTACCTTGCTGCTTATCTGATATTCCAGGGGGATGTTAAATTTTCCATTGAGTTCCACCTGGATGAATGGTTGACTGGACTTATCTACCACTTCTGTCCTTGTGTTTCTAGCACTCTTTCTCACACTCAGACCCTGGGTTTATGTGAAACTGTGGGCCCTGTGTTAGAGGATTAGCAGGTGCTGAAGCATTGGGTGTGGCTGAAACCAAATAGGATGGGAGAGCCAAACCATCGCCCTATTGGTGATTAACTGGAAAGCTGGTAAAGATAAATATGCCAATAGTCTAAAAAGAGTTTTAGCTGGCAGCTAGTATCAGCAACTGTAAGGTGTAGTTTTATGTCTTACAGTACAAGTTTCATTGTATGTATAGATAAGGGGTTTCTTTGTTTTGTAAATTTGGTTTAAGTATGCATTGTCATGATGTTATGATTTTCTTTGGGAGTAACCAGGAGAGACAGGCTGAGTGATTTGGAGACAATACACTCTGTGTATGATTAGTTTAAGTTCAAGCTGCAACGATTTATCGAGTAACTAGGAAAAACGTGGTTGTTTAAAAAATGTTTTTTTAATCTTTTGCTTTCTTTCATCCAGAATTAATTTAACGAATAAAAGCACATAAGGTGGTTAAAGTTAGGAGTAAACGAGTCACACTGATGATGTAGAGGTCTCAAATACTCATCACTAATATAACTGATAGCTGTAGCCATAGTTTGAGTAGATTGATGCAACACTCCTGTATATTTGGAAATGGTTAACATGGCTCTGCTCAAATACCACAGAAAACAAGAAGGGACAAGGGAGCAAAGGTTCTTTATAAATCGGTCACTATAATCCTGGCTTTCCTTTCCTTCTCAGTTATCAGTCGTTTTTAAATGCGATATTGCATAAGCCACTTGGACTCGGGCTCTTTTGATGTCCTGCTGTGTGTCAGAGTCACGGGCCACATAACTTTAAACGACACCATTTAACATGATGAATTAATCTGCATGATGGCGCTAGGACAGACAGATGGATGGCAAACGGACACATGGACTGTCAGTCAGTATTAGTGCATGTGCATAATGGATCCCTCAGGTCAGGGGTGCAAAAGAAGAAGATAAGCCCCTGCATCAGTACTTTTATTCAGAGAAGATGAGGCGTTTCGGCTCTGTAACTTCCCACTGGCACATTTGCAGACAGCTCTGTGTTTTCATAGGCGCTTGTTGGGGTCAGCTGAGAAGGCGACATTGTGTTTCTTTCCCTTTCTTTCTTCCTGTTTGAGACATTAAGTTGTCTTAAAAAAAAATCAGCTCTGAATTTCATTTTTAGCTCCAAACTGCACACTTGTGCACTTTTCTCTGGTGTGTGATTTGGATCTATCCCAGTCTCCTACCACTAAATCATAACTTCTTTTTTCTTTCTTTTCACTTTGTTTTTTTTTCTTCTCCAGCACAGCGCTTTATCTCCCCTCCTAACCAGCTCAAGAGTCCCCAGGAACCTCTCGCTCCTGCCTCGGGCTTTCACATCACCACTTAAAAAAATGATCTGCATTTTCTTCAAGATATTGAGATAATGAGGAGTGCACTTAGTCTGCTTTTATTTCATTCAGCAGGCGTCTCTGTCACACATCTTTGGATCCCTGTGTTAACACCTTAATCACTATGAACTCCTTGACATGTTTCAGAGCCTGGTTTCAGAGTCCAGTACAGAATCCTTGTGCTGCTTTTTTTCCCCCCGCTCTTCCTCCTCGGCTGATTCCCTGTCTTTCCTCATAATTCCCTCACTGGAGTGATTCTGATTTCTCTGATGGCTCCCACAGTACAGAGACTACAGCAAGCACCAGTCACACAGCTTCCCCCGAACCACTTTAGTTTAGGATCCTTTGATTAGGGTTCTTTTTAAAGCTGGTGGTCCTAGTCTGTAAAGCAGAACCAACACATTTACAGTACATTGTAAATAATGTCATGACAGTACAGGTTCCAGGTAAAGTTAACATGTAGCTGAAGTTTATAGCCACTGTAAAGCAGATCGAGGCTAAGGCTTCTTAGTTTGGATGTTTTTAAGCTTTTTTAGATTTTGTGTTTCTTGAGAAGAATTTCATCATGCAAAACCTTTTTCCCCTCACCTGGTTTTGTCCCAACGTGTTTTGGAAGTAGGACGGAAGGGTATTTTTTTTTCATTGATAGATGATTTGTTTTTCAGTTTTGGGCATTTAGATTGTTTTTTTTTTATTTATTTATTTTTTTTAATTATTATTTCAAATCAACTCACTAATCATGTTTTACTTCATCAGCTTTTACCTGATTTAGGCACTCTGCATAGAATTTCATAGATTTTCCCAAAGAAGGCCAGGTTAAAAAAAAAAAAATCTTTGGAACGTTCTCTAAGGATATCATTTACATGTACAGCCAAAAACACAGCACAGACATTGTCTTGAATTCATGGGTGTTACCCCCGGACATGAGGTGACGCTATTGTTAATCAATATCGATTGCTTGTAATGAACTAAAACTTGAAGAATTGGATTCGGGATATCCTCTTACACCCTCAAACCTTTGTTTTCCTGTCTGCACTTAAAGGCGTGTGTGATGTTGGCATCATGCACCATTTGTACTCATGGAGGAGTACACCCTGTGCACCTCCATGTATAGAAATGTACAGTACATTTGAAACCACACAATAATGCAAAGTGCAGACTGTGCATATGACTGTTTATATCACAGGTCCAGTGATACTACTCAAACATGTTTTCTTTTTATATCCAAGTGTAAATACTTAAGTCCAATAACATCCTGTGTTTACTTTCTGCTTCAGTCAGAGGTGATAAAGCTGCTAGTTTTGCTCTTAGTGGGAAAAGTTTGGCTGGCAGCTCTATGATAAATTAAAGCCTGTGGTGCCTGAAATCTGTAGGCTAACAAATTCAAGTTGCACATTTGAGTTTAATGTATTCTGATGAAACCAGAGGCTGAGAGAATCCATGTTTAGGTACAGAATACATTCAGTGTATTCTGTACTTAAACATGGATTCACAGTTTACAACTTTTTTTTGTTTTGTTTTTGGTTACAGCGGCAATATTTTGCCTCCTATGTGATGTGTTGACATGCTGACAATGCCTGTGTGTGTTTGTTTGCAGCGGCATCATACACGGACAGCTCTGATGACGAGACATCTCCTCGTGACAAACAGCAGAAAAACTCCAAGGGCAACGGCGACTTCTGCATCAAAAACATCAAACAGGCCGACTTCGGCCGCAGAGAGATCGAGATAGCTGAGCAAGGTGAACCAGCGGGCAGTAGCTTTAAAAACTGGGAACTGAGCTAAATACCAAACTGCTGTTATGACCACCATTTAAAATCAAACTCAATGTATTTCATTGACATTACTCTCTAATTACCTAGCAGAGAGCCTCGCTCATCGAGCTACTCCACCGCACGAGACGATGGATTAGTTTTGAAGTATTAGGAGGATTAAATGATGGGAATTCCTTAATCATCCAGATCAATCCTGTATATCCACTTATGTGTATTTGTGTGTATGTGTGTGTTTCCTTTTCTTTCAGAGATGCCAGCACTGATGGCTCTGAGGAAGCGAGCCCAGGGGGAAAAACCCCTCGCTGGTGCCAAGATTGTGGGCTGCACCCACATCACTGCCCAGACTGCTGTAAGTAGTAGCAGTGCAAAACACTCACACACACTTGTTTATTTTTCTCTTCTGCCACGACAAAAACTCAAACTTGACCCTCGTCTTCTCCCAAGGTGCTGATGGAGACTCTGTCAGCTCTGGGCGCTCAGTGCAGATGGGCAGCATGCAACATCTACTCCACCCAGAATGAGGTGGCAGCTGCCCTGGCAGAGGGAGGTGAGGCTCAGTGTTCCCATGTGGTGACACCTGACCTTTTCTTCTCTCTTTTTTGCCGCCTAAAATATTAATGCGCTCGCTTTTCCCATCATGGTCACATTCATTGTTATTCATACACTCGTATGCAATATGTATTCAACGCTTCCTCTCTTTGTAGGTTTCAGTGTATTTGCGTGGAAGGGAGAATCAGAGGACGACTTCTGGTGGTGCATCGACCGCTGTGTCAATGTGGAAGGCTGGCAGCCCAACATGGTAGCACACCTACATATCTAAATAAAGCTTATTACAGAAAAGTTGCCTCTGTGGTTTTTACATCAAACATCAATCATTGGTAGGCCATTCATCTGTTGTGTAGTAGGTTTTTAAATGTATTTTTACGTGATGATTGTCTACCACTGTGGCTAGAAGTGAAGAAAGGGGCATTCATTATATCAGATAATTTGTTCTGCATATTCAAACATAGAAAACTTATCTTTCTGATTTCTCGTCAGATCTTGGATGACGGTGGTGACCTGACTCACTGGATTTATAAAAAATATCCCAGCATGTTCAAGAAGATCAAGGGCATAGTAGAGGAGAGCGTTACTGGTGTGCACAGGTAGGACGTGGTGTCTTTTTAGTTTAGTTTTTGTTTTTGTGTGTGTGTGTGTGTGTGTGTGTGTGTGTGTGTGTGTGTGTGTGTGTGTGGTGTGTGTGTGTGTGTGTGTGTGTGTGTGTGTGTGTGTTTGTGTGTGTGTGTGTGTGTGTGTGTGTGTCATAAACGTCGATTGATCTGTTCTGATTCAACACACGAGATCCCTTTATGGTCCACTGGTTGTCCGTTCTGTATGTGTACTGAAGTCAAATCAGGTGTTTGTACATGTTGTGGGGAGATGTGATTCTGACCAATTCACACAACGTTTAAGCCGACTTGGAGCAAGGAGTGTTCGGTCACACACAGGAGTACCATAGCCTGAGAGTGTCTGCACGTTTTCCTGAGTGGATTGAGAGGAAAACCGTCCAGCTTGTAGAGCAGGACGGTTTGAGAGCCTGCACCTCTCTCTGTTACTAAGGAAATATAGAAATGAAGACATCAATAGAATCGTATTCATCAGTTCCCCTTATTAATTCTGGGTCAGTCTCTGAGTTTGGAAAAGGAGGCCTGCACAGGTTTTCAGAGTCGATGGTTGACATTAGAAAAAAAGGCTTGCATTTGTTTTGCACGTGCAAACACTCCCTGTTTAGCCAAAATAGGGTTGATCCCAAAAAACTGGATTCAGAGGAATTGATGAGGTTTTTGATTTTAGCTCGTTTTCACGGGAGAATGTTGTGCAAGAAGCCTTCCTTGCATCTTTGTTGCATGCAAAGACTCCCCATCTGTCGGTGGGCTTCTCTGCGCCAGCAGCCGCAGCAGCAGGTTGCCCTGGGTTCTGGCTTCAGCTTCACCGGGGAAAGGATGGTGCCTGCAGGCACTATAGTCGTCCTATAGAGAGAGAAAAAACGTCCGAACAACCTGCTCTCACTAGTTTGGCATGCTGGGGTTTTGTGCTTACATGTGGTCTGTGTGATAATATTTAATGCTGATCTTGTTTGTTTGGTGTTTTGTTTTTTAAATCACAGCTATGAGAAATATGCATTCATGCTGTGTAAGCATGAATGCGCTAACCAGCTAGCCCATTATTAGTGCAGTCGTCTTGGAGATGCATGTCAATGAATTTTAGGGCTGAGCTTGTGATTGAGCCCCAGTGGGAGGGGGTTATTTGTTTAGATGAGGAGTACAGCATCTACCTCCAGATGAATGAGACATTCCACCTTTAGGTAGATAAAACCAGGTGCTGTAAATGTGTCTGTTAATGTGCTGGTTTGTGTATTTATTTCTCACTGAAGAAGTGTTTACATAATTTGTGGTGTGCCAACATCACCATCTAGTGGTGAATATGTTCTCCACTGTATATTTGTGGCATGGTAGCAAAATTTCAACTTCATTTGCGCAAATAGAAACACATCAGTTAAATCTAAATGATAAAACAAATCCTTTCAAAGATTTAAGCAGCAGCTTCTCCTGTCAGGATTAATTTGCCACCTTTCTTCCAGTCATTGAATTAAGAGACATGATTGTATTCTGATGTAAAGTTTAAATGTTTTTTGGTGTGTGTTTGTGTGTGCAGGTTATATCAGCTGTCCAAGGCCGGGAAACTCTGCGTTCCAGCCATGAATGTCAACGATTCAGTCACCAAGCAGAAATTTGACAACCTGTACTGCTGCAGAGAGTCCATCTTAGACGGGTAGGAAATGCTCTCCTGTTGAACCTTGTTAGAATTATAAAACAGGCCAAGTTTTTTGTTTCTAATAACATGCATTGCTGCAAGGTGTATACACCCGCATCCAGTCTGCTCCAAACAGTGTGAATAAAGATTGGGTTGCCTGTGTGTTATAACAGTGTTTTTGTCCTCAGCCTGAAGAGGACTACTGACGTCATGTTTGGAGGCAAACAGGTGGTGGTGTGTGGATATGGAGAGGTAAGGCCACCGTCCTCGTCACGCACCTTTCTTGTTCACACAGTGATGCAAACACTGAAGCCTTGTCCTGTCTCCTGTGAGTTCGCTTATGCACATGAACAGATTTCAATGTAGCACGACAAGTTAGATAATTGTTGTCGGCCTTTTTGAGGCATCTAAGTAAGGATGGGGTTTTGCTAAGGCCGTGGCAATTAAATTTGTAAAAGGCTGGCTTGAACTTGATTAATACAGAACAAGCCACCAGAGAGTTTTGTGCTAATAGAACATCCAAGTGATGGTAGCAGAGGCCAGCTGCTGTGGATTTTTTTTTTTTTTAAAAAAGTACATAAATTTCTTTAAACCTTTTCTTTCTTTCTTTCTTTTTTTTTTTTTTTTTTTTCTTTGCTTTGGGTTTAAATTAAAACCTAACGGGGCTAATGTGTCAGTGTACAGTAGGAGGTCTTTTCTTTGAACCCAAGTGCTTAACTTACTGAGACACGATTGAATGAATTCTAAGTGCGCCTTGTGGTCAACGCTGTGTACCATAGTTGCTATTAAACTGGAACACGCTTCAAAACATAGCCCTTAGTTTTGACCTTTTTGTGTGTAACAGAGGACTTCGAGTAAAATTAAAATGTATGAGGTTTTAAAATGGTAAAAAGATTACTTCAAATTACTCCTATGTTAGTGCTTTGTCGTGGCGTAAGTAATCTGTCCTCTTCAGAGGATTTGGGGTCAAATTGTGGCCTGCATACTGACAAATGCAACCCAGTCAAGTAGGACGTACTGGTATTTATTTAATATAATATATTACTACTGAGTCACACTAAATGGACAGCAGTGCTACAAAATAGGTGGTTTGATCCTTGTTGCTTCCACGTGGCTCCTATTGTGTGACTGGTTGATTAAGAAACATGTCGTTTTCAGTTCTTTTTCTAAATAGTGAAATAGTGTGCACACTTAACACACTACATTCACTCAAACAGAAGCATCATGGACAGTTTCTGCATGTGATATGGGTTTATGTCCTTTGTGTTAACTCCATTTGTACTTTTTTTCTCTCCTCAGGTTGGAAAAGGCTGCTGCGCTGCCCTCAAAGCAATGGGCTCCATCGTCTACGTCACAGAGATCGACCCCATCTGTGCCTTGCAGGCCTGGTGAGACTTCTTCAGCTCTTGTTCTTCCTTTGTTGCCGTTGATGCTGCATTCATCTTACACACTTTCTTTAACCAACCGTAGCATGGACGGCTTCAGGCTGGTGAAACTCACCGAAGTCATCAGACAAGTGGATATCGTCATTACCTGCACAGGTTGGTTCAGCCGCTGTCCTTATCTGACAAGAAGAAACACAATGCAAAGAGAAATCCAGCTTAGATGTTGCATGTTAGGAGGATACAAAACATAAAGCAGTCCCTGGTATCATTCATTCAGGGTGCCTAAACGGATAATAAGTCCTTGTAATCAGTCTGCAGCAGCTACTAATAAAGTTCTTAACTCAGCAGCCAGCAAGTTGAGCGCTTGAAGCAGAGAATTACTCGCCCTCTCGGCTTCATTAGTCGGTGGTGCTGGCAGGCGAGCTGCAGAGGTCTGTTCTTAGGTGGAAATGGCAAAGATAACAGCAAAGATAATAAAAGGATTTGTGGCCTCAATAAAGTTCAAGAGTGTTGTGAAATAAAAGAAACAAATATATTAAAACACGCTGTCATAACTCTTATCTCACACATACACACAGCAGTCTCTTTGTTTGGTTTTTATTCACCTCTATCACGTCTGTTTTTTATTGCTTAGTAAAAGATTTTAGCTTGTTTTGATCTAAATAGATAAATACAAAACCATTTAAAATGCTCTATGTAGACAGGTGAGACTCTAAACTAAATTACATTCCCTAATTAACTTTGTTCAAGTCGTGCGATAAGTAATTAAATCATGAGCGATAAGGGCAATCCTCCTTCTTTTCCCCCCAGTACATAGATTTCAGAAAACCTGTTCAGTCCCTTTACAGCGTCGTATTTGATTAAAACCTCACGTACAGCCGAGCCTCTTTCCTTCCTCTGGAGATTTTTGCTTCCTCAACGTTTCTCTCTGTTCTTTGTGTCCTCTCCCCTCATCAGGCAATAAGAACGTTGTGGTGAGAGAGAACCTCGACCGCATGAAGAACGGCTGCATCGTCTGCAACATGGGACATTCCAACACTGAGATCGATGTGGTCAGTTGCCAGTTTGCACGAGGTCTAAATTGTAGTCATCTCATCAGATTTAGGCGTGTTAAAACACTGCCACTAGTTATCATTTTGGAAGACTGAACTACTCGATCGAGACTGTAAAAGATTTCTGCTCCCCTGTTAAATGTCCTCACGTCTGTAAAGCTTGACCTGGGGCAGTGATTGCTCATTGTTGTCATGGTAGCAGTCGACGTAGACTTGAGTAAGTGTGGCGTCAGTAAAAGGTCTGATCTATAACCTGCTGTTACACTCAGAAATAAACAAGACTGACAGATGGATAGTTAGTTTCCTAGAAAGACAGGAAAAATATGGAGCTGCCACTAGCCTTTCTTTGGTTACGTAATGCAAAAACTAGCAGACCTTTACAAGCTTTCAAACCATAAAGATTGTTAAGCTTTTATCCAGGGCAGCCATGAATCTTTGTCTTTGAAATACACATTTACCAATAAAAAAACCCCATAAAAATAAATCATTAAGTATCACCAGTCACATGCATGCAAGAACTTGCACCACACAGTGTAACTATCTTTGACCCATGTACACAATGAAATCAACCTGTGCAGCTGCATGTTTAAGATATTTGCTTCAGTACAAAAGGCTGTACCAGCAGAACACTTCAGAAAGACGCTTAATCATCTTCATATACAGAGATGAGCGGTTTAGGCTAATGTTAACAACAAATAGTGGATGGATGTCACATGTGCAGCTTTCTTTTTTACTTCCTTAATGTTCCAATGATGCTTTAAGCCTGTTTCAAGTGTGTAGCAGCAAAACGAGATTAATTTGTTGCCTTAACCTTAAGTTATTATAAGTTTCCCTGTTGTTTACGGAATCTTTTCAGGTCATTCATTTAGAGTTTACAGTACACTTGTGGAAATTGTGAAGATAAAAATCAAGAGGCTAGCCAGTCTGTGCGATAAGTCTGCTGGAATGGAAAGATAAGTTTAATGAGAGATGGCTGGACGTGGCGTTAACAAGAAACTTTTATTTCCTTTTTTCATTTTGACTTATTGTTCATTTCAACCAGTTAACACAAAAATCATATTTTCATATTTATTATGGGTGTGCTTTAAACATTCCAATCTACACCTCATATAAAATGATAATAAAGGTCTCAAAATGTCTTGTGAAACTTTTGTACTTGCAGACACCGGATGCACACTTTACCACTACTGTTAGTACCTTTATCAGTCTGTAACAGGCTAATAAAGCTTTCTGGTCATTAAAGATTGTACAGAAGTGTTTAGAAATGGGAACAAAGGTCAACGTGAGGATGTTTCAAAATCAGTAATAACAATGGGTGATGGACAAAGGAAATGGTTCATATGAAAGGAAGCTCTGAGTCACTCCAGTCCTGGAAATGAAGCGTGCTCAGTCAACATATGACTCGTGATGAGATGTCATAGAGCAAACAGCCAAATACAAATAACCGATGATGTCGTTTCTTCCTTATAGGCAAGTCTGCGGACTCCTGAACTCACCTGGGAGAGAGTGCGCTCTCAGGTGGACCACGTAATCTGGCCTGATGGAAAGAGGATAGTCTTGCTGGCAGAGGTAAACACACCCAGCCACGCGTCTTCCTTCTAATCCTGGTGTCTAATTGGCATCAGTTCAGTCCGGGGTACAACAACAGGCAACTAGACATTTTTGGTGTGATGATGTTGATAATATGTCCATATTTAAATAATTGGTTGCCATAAAGTGATTCATGGTGCTGCGATACAAAAACAGAATGTAAAATCCTAGAAGAAAACTTTTACTTTATTTAGAGAGCTGGATATTCCACTTTTCATTCTTTCATTCTCTTAAGCACCTCTTTGTGTAACTGGAAGTCAGGAGTACTTTTGTAAGACAGAGAACCCCTAGCTAGTGCTGTTCTGCATTACTTTGTATGTAGACTGTAACTGGCAGGCAAACAGCCACTCAAACAGAGCAGTACATAATGCATTAATGTTAGCAGGCAAAATAATCGAATAACGTGTCCAAATTTATGCCTAAAACACCAAGTTGTCTGTGTTCAGACAGCAGAACCTTGTGAATGCTTTCTTCTGCGTTGATACCACAAATATCCCCGTTTGTCATCAGAGTCACAAACTGTATTGGGTTTATGGCCATTTAAAGGGCACTTTGTAAAATGGGCCCACTGCCATGACAATGTTTAAGAAAATAATTTTAAAGGATTAAATACAGTAGACGTTTACACAGACGATGTTTAACCACATCCGTTAAATTATCTTCAAGTTCGACTGCTTTCAGGGCGTATTCTTGCTTTTAGGTGAGTTTATTCATCCTATTTTCTCCTCTGATTTAATCACTTTGGAAACCTCTTTGGCAGAGTTATCCTCTCATATTTAATAATTGGTTGATTAATCATCATTTAAAATATTATTTTGTAATGTAGTGCAAGTTGTTATGGAATAAACACATAAACAGGACACTTACCCTGCAAACCTTTTTGCAACTTTACTTGCAGTAATATGCACACACTCACCCCCTGATCATGAATATTTTAGGATAAGATGAGGTGTGTGTGCTTATGTGACAGAATGAGAGCAGTCCAACAGGGCCAGACAGGCAAACTGCCAGCCTGTCAATGCCTGCCTCTCTGAGGCTGTTTGATCTGCAGAAGTTTTAACCACATCAGTAGATTTGCGCCTCCATCCTCACCCTCACCTGCCTCCAGATCACTCTGTTCTGATCCTTAAAATAGAGCAGTGCTCCAAAAATGCCATTCAGTTTAAATATACAAAACAACATCTGATCCTTTAGTATAGCTAACATTTGGATGTTTAAAGTTTATTTAAATTGTGGCTCTGTCCAAAAAAAGGAAGTTATTTTTTTGTTCCCTTTTTGTGTCCCAGTGTAATAATGCACACTCAGGCATTTATGTCATATTTATGAGCATTATTAAGCTGTAAGATGGTTCACAGACAGCTGCTTTATCATGTGAAAATGCACACAGCACTAGCGAGCAGCGTGTGTGTGAACTTCAGTGTGTACAGCAAATTAAACCCCTGTGTGGAGTTTCTGTTCTGCTTTCATCATCCAGCAACAACAGTTGAACGGCAGTCTGTTCCCCTCTCTTCGTGTAGCTTTTCAGTTTCAGAGGGATGGCCACTCGGTGCATAGTTAGCAACATCTGTCTTCATCAGTAAGCTAATGCACAGCAGTTTCATTCATTAACAGGACTGACTGCAGCGTTACACAGCTGATACACAGTCGATTTGTTGAGGGACACCGAGATCTGAGTTTATTGATTCCTTTTCATGATGCCGCCCAAAAGGTACATTTTTACACAAAGGCGCGAGCCTGTATGTGTATTTTTGACTTGTACTCTAACCTTGTGTTGTTGTTTTTGTTTTGTTTTTTCCCTCCTGTCCAGGGTCGTCTGCTGAACCTCAGCTGTTCCACTGTGCCCACTTTCGTTCTCTCAATCACTGCCACCACTCAGGTAAAGCTGTGGATCAATTTGTCTCATTTATATTGTCGCATATGTTTGGCTTGTTACACTTTGCATTGCTGCATTTGTGTGTGTGGATCTGTCCAGGCACTGGCACTGATAGAGCTCTACAATGCCCCTGAAGGACGGTACAAACAGGATGTTTACCTGCTGCCCAAGAAGATGGGTAAGAGTACCATCATTTCTGGATGTGTTAAAGTAGTGGATGTTTGTATTAAACATTTCAAATAACGACTTCGGCATTCAAGTAATTTCAGTCAGGCTCTTAGGTTTTAGGCAAAAGCTCCACCAACTTGTTGTTCAAACCTTCTGTCTTCAAGGGGATGATGAAGATGAACTGCAGGGCTGTGCCTAACCCCAGTGTGAGATAAATACGAATTATTTTGGACTTTATCATAGTAGTTTTTTATGATTTAGAGTCCACTTTGATATCAGAACACATAAAAACCTCTTGTGTAACAAATACCATCTACGTGGATGTACAGGATGTGATTACAGCATGTTAGAAGCCCTGCAGACAGACTACATTTATCTCTGCAGACAGACTCATCTGTTCAGTCCAGAGTCGTCTCCCCGGATAGCAAATCACTCACAGCAGAGTGAATCCTGTGTATCTGTAGACACATGTGTGCATGTCTGCCGCTTGTCACATCTCTGAGCCGTCTCTCAGAGGCTGAGAGCAGAGCGCACATATCGTAAAGAGAAAAACAAGGAGAAGAATGTAGGTCGGTCTGTAAGAAACTGCCACTGTTATCACAACACACACTGACACAGAGGTGGGAGAGGGCCGGGTTCGGATAAGGAAGAGAAGAATGCAGTCAGAGAAAGGGAAAAAGGAAGACGGTTATCACTGCAGAAGAAAACAGCTGGGAAATCCTGCTACTTCCTGTTCTCATTTAAATGATTAATCAAACATGGACGCCTGGTGAATGTAAGCACGTTCTCTCGCTCTTGCCCTTCAGATGAGTATGTGGCCAGCCTGCATCTCCCAACATTTGATGCGCATCTTACAGAGCTGAGCGACGAGCAGGCCAAGTACCTGGGCTTAAACAAGAACGGGCCCTTTAAGCCAAATTACTATAGGTAAGCAAACACCTCAGCGCACTTGCACTGTTTTGAGTGGCTGACATATAATCCCGTAATTCAAATAATGATCCCGTGTGTATGTACTTGTTATTAAATTGACATAGTGTACCACACCCTCTTATTAAAGCTAAATCCTTTCAAAGACCCTGTTGAATACTGGTGGGTTTAGCTTTCTAATCAGCCTTTTCACCAAGCGACTTTAGGTCTGAATGTTAATGAGCTACAGCAGCCACCAGGTATCGCACCACTATAGCCATGCTTTGTTTTGAGCAAGAGGTTGGTTATCTTGGGAGATTAATACATGCAGGTGTTTTGTCTACCAGCTCCATATAGACTCAGAACCTAAACTTCTGTGTCGCGCTTACTGTTCAGGTCATGGTCCATTTCAACGTAAACACAAATTTGCAAGTAAAGAGCAGCGTCGCTGGACTGATGCTGTGCAGTAGTGATGTGTGATACGGTATCCGCCCAATGCGACGAAAATGCAGAGCCAGTATTCCTGATGCAAAGTAAAGATACTGGTATTTTTGACTTATAATGGGATCTTATGTTGAGGATAGCTGTGTGACATTAATAAGAGATGAATCATCATCATGACTGAAACATTTTGTTCACTGGATCTGTCTGAAGGCATTTCTTCCTCCTCATTGTTTCTTTTGCTGCTCATTCCAGGAAGAAGCTGTTTCTGTTTTGTGATCTTTCATGTATTCAAATAAGTTGGTGGTGTTGCCAAAGTAGAGAATTTCCCTTCAACACGCATCACTGCTTGCAGTGTTTTCATTTACCGCCTACTAAATACAGCAGAGTAGGGAGGAGGGGGCGGAGCCAAGTGTGTTTGTATGGAGTGCATTGGGCTTATAGGAGACAAACAAAAGCATCACTCCTATCCTGGTAGTATTAGCCACTGCTAATACCAGCATTGCTGTGGACGCTATCACAATTTCAGTCGATCCCCCCAAACCCTAACAAGTAGGGCATGGCTAAACTGAAAGAGGAAAATTTAAAGTTGATCTGGATCCGTAATTGAATCCAGGATTATCTAGAAGGAATCTTTACCGTTGAAGGATAAAGTGGCATTTTGCATTTCCTCCCAAGATCAAACCGGAGAGCTTTTGTTTGTTAGGCAAATGTGCAAATTTCAACACTCACATCCCGTCACATCTTCACAAATGTATATCAAATTAAAAGAAGACAAAAAATATGGAGACGTCATTTTAAAGTTTTGAGGATAATAATCCAGATCAAGGGGTTCGATAAATGTAGTTTTGGTGCATGGATGCAGTCTCAGGCTGCTGTGGATGGACATTTGTTAAACCATTAGGTGAGGCCATGGTTACAGCAATGCCTGTCTGTCAGCCTGAAGGAGCTGCTTCACTCGACTCTCCTCGTCTGTGCAGAACTGTAATGAAAAGCATCAGATTAACAACAAAGTTTGGTTTTTAGATATATTTGGGTATATATTATCATTTAAATTTGCATTTGGTTTATCCAAAATGATTTTGATTTCTTCCTTTGACACCTGTACATCAGTTTAACCTGCTTGTTTCCGCCACAGTCAGTTCAGTTGCTCCGACAGCTGCTAACATGTATGTTCTTTGTTTTTAAGGTATTAGCCAAGTGTTGTGGGAAGAAGAACTCCGTGAATCATACAGACTGGTAGCGGAGGACAGGAGGGAGGACAATACACCTGCTTTATATGTAAGGGAGAAGGGGGCGGAGCTCTGAACGAGCCTGCAGGGTGGGGGTGGGGAGGGGCGTGGCTTTCCCTGCTTATGGCAGTCGTTTTATTTATCCCCCGCCTGATAACAGTAATAATAACAATAATAACATTAACTACACCTCGGAGCTGCTCCTGCCATTCACCTCGAGCTAGCTCCCAAACCCCGTCTCCCGCTCACTCGTCATTTCATCATTTCCACCCGGTCCTCTTCAGACGCTCATTTGTATGTCGAGTCGTATGTAAACCTCCATCCTCCCTTCCACGTTGCCAGATCTTTTATCGTTTATCTGTTAAATATGAAATTACTGAAGCTAAAGATATATACTATATTAAAAAAAAATCTTGATTTAAAAAAAACAAAAAAAACTGTGTGAATGAAGACCACCTTTGAAGATTTATCTTGTGTCGGACAATTTTTCCTGTCCCTTATTTTTGTCGTCTTTTCTTTTCTACTTGTGATTTTTTTTTTCTTCTCTTTTTTTGTGTATTATTGGGGTGGGACGGGTGGGGCTAGACTGAGGGTTTAGGCGGGGGTCTCAGGGTCCAATCATATCGTTTTATTTGATTGCGAATTGTCTGTTTTTAAGTTGTTTTTTTTTTAGTACGCTCTTATGTCACTACGGGTCACCCTGTAGTTTTTCTTTCTTCCTTTGTTTTTTAAAACGTGACTGGAGGGTGACCCCCGCCAGCCCCTCACCCAAACACCTGTCACTCAAACCCACAGTGAAACCATCTCATTCGCTGCTCTTCTTTCTCACCCGCTCTAGCGACGCCAGTGTTGAAGTAATGAAAAGTATTTTTATTTGGTCCTTCACTTAAACAAGAATACTGTAGTAAAAGCATGGCAGGCTTTTGGATCATCACGAGGGTATACTGTGTATTTAGATGTTTATAAAGAAAAGATTTTTCTATCTTTCGTTTATTTCCTCTCCTCTAATATCATTGCAGTATAATGTTCTAATGATGCGTGTAATAAATATACTCGAACTCTCGTTTTAAATACTGTGAGAAAATATTTACAGAAATACCAAACAGCAGCCACCCTGGTACGTAAAGGAGCAGCTCACCTCAAAAATCAAATGTAGTTAGTTAGTTTGTTTGTTTTCTTTCAAATGTAGGTTGTAGCTTTGTTTGGATCTGCCTTCTCTTGAACGTCATGGAACTAAAAAGCATTACCTTCTCTTCTAGTTCTTGGAGCATTAAAAAAAATCGATCTGAAACTAGGTAGCAGTATCACTTTTGCAAAATTATGCTCCGGCTATTCAAGATAAAGGAACAAAACTCCACCCAAATATTGTGAGCAGCTTCATGTAGGAACTGTTTCCTTCCTGCTGAATTACAACAACCCTCTCACTCATAACGCTTATTTTTGTGACAGGGTGTGAACACTAATGGGTGTCCCCCGTCCCCTGAGCTGTTTGTTTGGCTGATGTAGACAGAAAAAAGAAAATAGTTCCTACATGAAACCTCCAATAACAAGATGAGATTTTTACCCACACCCTGCTGGGCAGGCGGCGTAGACACCCAGGTTTGTGAATGTGATAACTCGAGAATGAAACGATGTATGATTTTTAACTTGATACCATAGTTGCATCTACTAGAAGGCCAACAGTATTTTTGAGTTACCGCTTTAAGCAAAACCCCACTTACGTCCATTATATTTAAGAGAAGGCAGACGCCTCTACAGCATACATCTCTATCTGTGCAGTGTACATTGTGGATAAAATAACACTAAATGCCAGGAAAATCTATTTAATAAATGACTGTGAGGTGAGCTGTCCCATTAAGCAGATTTCTTCTGTCAGGTCCTCAGTAAAACACATGGTGCTGTTAAGAATTACTGTATTTGCCATAATCAGATGACACAACTCTTTGGTACTCACAGATGAGTTGAGCTTACAAATGAAAGACGGCACGCACACGACATCTCTGACGTGCACTAGCCTTTCAGGTCCATTTCCGCCTTTTCTCCCACCCGGAAGGCGCTTTCTTTCTTTGTCTGTCTTTCTTATGGCTGTAATGAGCTGCACAGTCGCCATCCACTGCAGCTCGTCCCCAGCTGAGCTGACATTTGAAATTAGAAAAGCCCTGACAGTGATTTCACCTGAAATGTACCCCGCTGCCACACCGGCTCTGCACCTGAACCGATCACAATCTCTTCTGGCGTGCTGCGAGACGCCGCCAGCTCTGCTTTCACACACTAGGATCAAACGCACACAGAGTGGCTCATTACCCAAGTCTGAAAGTTTACTGTATCGTACTAGATATGAAAGGTAACAGTAAAAGTTTTATTTTTTGAAAAGGTGGGAGTGGCACAAAAAAACTTTGTTTACCAGTTGAATAAGTATGCTTTTGCAGGTCAGTTTAATCAAGTAGTTCAGGATTTATTTTGAAGGGTTCCTGAGAGGGCTTGTACTACCTATTTGACAAGGTTTCACGCATCTGTTGAAATTTTGGTCAAATAAATAAATAAAACTGTTCCTTTTTTGTTTTAGGCAAAAATAAGAACAATATGGGAACCCTTTAGTCAAACTCCTATACTGAGTCCCTTTCATCCGTCTCTTCATGTTGTTGACTGCTTGTCTGTAGTACTTAAACCTTTTGTCTTAAGTCTTTTTTCTTCCTTTTGTGCGCGCGTGTGTGAACGAGCGTGATGACGACGACGACGGTGCACATCTAAATGTCTCTCTGTATTTGTAAGCATCCTTTCTGTTTTGTAGGCCATAGTTGCTTTGTTACCAGCTGCCTCAGGATCCTAGCCTGTGTGTTAGGGGTGGAGAAACCGTTTTGTTTTTCCGTCAGCGCTCTGCTGACCGGGTAGGCGGGGGAAGACACCAGCATCATAGATGTATATACATACTATATGCAGATATGACAACCTTTAAAAGTATAGGAAGGTAAAAGAAGAATTGACACCTGTATTTATTGTTGTAAATCCTCATACTGTTCAAACTGACAAAAATTCAACATGTTTTAAGTTGTCTAATAAAGAAAAAATAAACCCTATGTTTAAATATTGCAAGTGATAATGTTAGATGATGAGCAATAATGACAAAATTCTGTAATCTGAATGAATAAAAAAATGGGGAAAAAAAGTTATTCCTTTGTGTGCTGCTTTATTTCTGCTACATTTAATACACAGTCACCCAGTGTGTTCACATACAGAGGGGTTTTTTTTATGTCGCAGCCTGTGTTGTGTCATCGTGGATTGGTTTCTAGTTGTATTTATGTGCTGTGGAAGAAGAAGATACATGCAGCTGCTGAGGTCTGTCACAGCCACAGTGAGCTCATCTGAGCCAGCAGCAGTCAGACAGGGACATCTCTGACATCAGCTGAGCCGAGCTGGCTCTGAGCCTCTATTTATTCTAGAAACATTAGTCAAGTTTATGTGAGCAGATTACTTTAAATAGAATCGTATTGTATGTGTGTTACACTATAATCCAGTTACATTCTATTTCAGCTTGTTTCTTTTGAAGCATTTAAAATGAGGTTTGGTTTGGGTGCTACAACAGTAATGTGCAAGCTTAGTTTCTTATATGAAGTGTCACTGTGACAAATTGCAGTGTTTAAGGTGGAGGGAGAGGGTGGCCTGAAGTGGGCACAGCAGTGGAGCCAGACGGGTTTTATCAAGGTCACCAGACTGCCACCATTAATTTCACAGGGGTGGCTCTGAAACTCACTGCTTCTTACTACACTGCATTCATGCCAGTGTAATACACAATGAGGACTCATTATTAACATTTATTTAACCAACTATTTCCCAACCAGAGAATAGACATCAGTAGTTGCCAACTGGTCTCTAGGTTTGTTCACTGGAGCCTTATTCACGTAACCCTACAGCAAACAACTTAATGTTACATCTGTCATGTGAATAGATCCACCACTGTTGTCTGCTGCCATCTTTTACATACAGTCTGTAGTCAGGCCTTTTGAAGCTGCCTTGACCCACCTTTAAGAGAAATTAACCCTGATGATACCATTGGAATAGTTTTTAGACCAAACCTGAGCTGTGGCCTGGAATTTATAACAGAAAATAGGAAACCTCGTCCTTGCAAAAACTGTCTGTAGGTACTTTGCAGTTTGTCTGCTACCATGAAACTAAACAGTTAATGTTTTTGATAAATCCAATTTGCCTTCCTAAAAAAAAAATCGTCCATCAACTGAAATCACATAAAATTCTGAAAGTGAGTACTTGAGTTACATTTAGACTAGAGTTCTAGAGTTCCTCACATCACTGTGTTTTTGTAGCTCCTGTGTTGTGTCTGCTGATCTTGGCCTGCGATGGATTTAACCACCAGTAAATTACTATTTAACCTTGAACTCTCTCACCTCCCCCACTGCCCTAGGCCATGTGGCACAAGCCTGCTCTGAACTGTTCACTCCAATCATGTCATCTTAAGTGGTTTTTCCACAGTCAGGGGGCTGTGTGTGTTTCAGTCTGCAGGACAATCCCCTCACAGCCACACATCAATAATTCACAGGGGAAAGTGACAGGAGGTGAAATGACAAATGAAGATGCACACACGTGAAGTGATCTGCGACAGTGACATCACGGCTGACGGCAGACTGTGTGGCAGCTCAGCAAAGGGGATGCAGCAGTTATTTTTATAAGATGTAGGTGCTTCTAATACTTTGAGCCATTCAACCTCCACTTTAGTACACTGACATCGTTTTGGTTCCATGTGTCAGCTGATGCGACTCTATTTAACTCCGCCCTCTCGGTTCGAGCAGGGACAGCGAATCAAACATATCGGGAGGGGGGGGAGTCGCAACAGCAGCAGGAGGAGGAGGAGGAGATCCTCAACTTGGCTCTCCGGAGTCGGTCCCCCCCTCCTGACGCGGTGCAGTCTTGAGCTGTCCACCGGATCGGTATGCACTATCCGCGGAGGAGGAAGTGAGCCGAGCCGACCGTGAAAGATGCAGACGGAGGACATGGAGGTACCTATCATTAATAACCTTAACGATAACGGCGACAGACAGAGGCCGAAAGGGAAAGATGTGTTCAAGGATCAGCAGAAGGAGTCAGAGGTAAATTCAAGTACAGCACAGCGGGCTCCCACAGCTCCTGGTACAGGAGCGCACTGGACGGCTGTGTGTGCGTACGTGTGTGTATGTGTGTGTTGTTGCTGGGAAGCTTTCAGATCAGCTGAATGTCCTTTCCATGCAGCGAGTCGTCTTTGCTCCAGAGCATGCATGCGGGCAGACGGCGAGGTGTTATTTTGGCAGCGGCTCCTATAAATAACCCAGCGGTAATCCTACAGCGGTGCTCAGCGTGGGGGACTGCAGGTGGTGAAATGTGACTGCTGCTCCCAGGACCACCGAACGTAACTGCATATCATATTTATGTCCTCGTGGTGTCCTTATGGCATCTGGAGTGCATCCTCCATTTAATCAATCAGAGAATCGGATCGGTTTTTGGCAGTCCGCCTGCTCCTCAGATGAGCATTTATTGGTTTTATTTGGTATCTTTGTGAAAGGAGGGATTTGGTTTAGTACGCTTTCTTGGAAACTGAAATAAAAGTGGCTGCCAGACAATAAAACATGTGCAAATTTAAAATCTTTGAGGTTTGAACTACAGTATGAGTGATATACTGGTGGCACAATAATAAGCCGATGCTGGCCTGTTATAAATTTAGAATTGTTTGGGGCGCGTCAGAGACCTAATTTGGATGCTACAGTCCCACTAAATGTACAGTTGTTTCCAGTCCCATACATATCACCAGCAGGTGCCCTCCTCTGCCTTCTAGCTAGCTCTGGAGGCTGTTATCGTCTATTGTAAACTGATAAAAACAGAGAGGCACAAATGATGAAAATATGTAGTCAGCGTAAACGTTGTGAGTTAGAAAGTTTAAATTTGTAATGCGTTTTATATAAATGAGATTGTATTTTAACTCAAAGTGAATCAAGAAATTATCTCCCTAGACTATTAGACCATAATTGCCTTCTGAATTATTGCTACACGTCAGGGTGGATCAATGCTTTCATGTCATTTGCACCAAATATCGATCCTGTTGCAAATCGAGACTCATCCAACCAGGCAATGTTTGTTTTTTTCCAATCTTCTGCCTGATTTTAGTGAGCTTGTGCAAATTGTACCCTCAGTTTCCTCTTCTTAACCGGAAGGAGTGGGACCCATTGTGCTCTTCTGCTGCTTCAGCAGCAAAGATGCTCTCCTGCACATATTAGTTGTAACAAGTGATCATTTGAGCTACCGTTGCCTTCCTTTCAGCTTGAAGCAGTCTTGCCATCGGAGAAATCCCAGTAGATTATCACCTTTCTTCCCCCATTCTGATGCTCAGTTTGAATTTCCGCAGGCCGACTTGACTGCATCTACATGCCTAAATGTATTGACTTGTTGCCACATAACTGGATGATTAGTTATTTGCATAAACAAGCTGTTGAACAGGTATACTTAATGAAGTAGCTAGCAAGTGTATGTAAATAGAATATTGAGTAATATGTTGATATTAGAGCCTTTTTACTGTCTAAGAATTTGTACCTGCAAATCCAGTGAGTTTGTGTTTGAACTGCTGGGTGTACATTGGAATCAGCCAATAAATTTTTTATTTTTTTTAATTTTTTTTACATCATTGCAGTATCCTTTTTTTGATAAAAAAGACTGAGGCGGTCCCATAGGTCCGGTGTATAAGCATATTTTCTGTGGTTTAAAGAGTGTTTAGAGCCACCGTAGACGCTTATGGGAGTCACCTTCTGTAATATGGACCTGTAAGCTGTAATCTCCTCCGCTATTTCTAAATTTGACTGGCGAGGCTTGTTGTTAAGGCTCCCTCAGTGCTCGGCAGCTATAATTCATCCTCCTCATGAAAAAATTACTAGATGATGGGCTTCATTGGTGGGGTTACTCGGTCCAGATACATAAGAGATGTTACTCAGAGTGCGTTGAAGCCGAAACCATTCAGAGTGCTTTGAAAGAGGACGCTGAATGTTTTTTGGGGGAACTAGAGCATATTCATCATACGGTCAATGGATAGGGGGTTGGGGGTGAATGAATGAGGTTCCCTGGCCTCTACAGTTGAACCAGGAATCTCAAACCTTACTCAGTCGTGTACGTGACTGTTTGTCTTTCTTGCTGGCTGGAGTGGTCATCGGTTGTCCATGTTGGCATATGTTGGTAGGAGAGGGGGCGTTCAGCCTTGACACTGCGCCCGGTGTTTGCACGCTGATGCGGTGTAGAGCGTGCAAACACAGGAGCCGTGCCAGTTCAGTTTGGAGCCGGGGCAATTTTGGTTATCAGCTGGTGGCAAAGAGAAGAGGAATGGTAAACGAGAGTGAATGGGGGGAAAATGAAGGAGTGGAAGAGAGAGACTGGGTAATTGTAAGGAGAAATGTAAGAGTAGCAGCAGACGAAGAAGAGAGAGGAGAGGCATGAGAATTAAAGAGAAACATAAAGAGACGTGTCATTTCAGTTTGGGCAGAGGAGTTAACTTCAGTTTCAGGGATGCCAATGGAGGACTGAGGGACTAAGAGACTCAGTAATATAATCTATTTAAGTAATTTATCAAGGCTAATTAAGCCTAAGTGAAAGTGTTAACGGCCTTGAAAACAAGTCGCCTCAATCACTTTTACTTTCAGGAGTGGGCTCTTGCATGGTCACACAATTTTCAGTGTAAGCTAAACAGTTTGGGTTGTTCTTGAATTTTTGTATAGTCTTCTGCATAAAACTAATCGACTAAGAAAACTAGTAATCCTTGGAATTTTATGCATTGTTTAATTATTAATGATGAATAATGTTAATAAAGGATGGTTTTGTAATAGCTGTAATATTATAGTAGCTACTAATCAGATGAAGTTCACTTGATAAAAGTTGCCTGACAAAATTGTTTGTTCTGAAACATGTGTTTGTAATGCATGAAGTTAAAGAGAAGACCAAAAATAAGAACAAGTCCAAAGTAGGAATGTCACACTATCAGAAATGTTGTTATTGGTACTGGTACCAGCATTACTTACCTTAAAGCTATAAGTTAGATTTAGAGCCTAATAGACATGGGAGTTTTAAGACGAATACCATGCCGATAATTGACGAAAATTCGATATTTCGGCCAATGTTTTTTTTCTGCTTTCAGACACAAAAAACATAAACATACTTCTCTAATATTTGTTATGTGCATTTATTTATAAGTCTTTGGATTCTTTAATTATCTTGGACCTTAAAAAACAATGATTTCATTGTCAAAGATTACTCCTTTACCTTCCAAACATATGTTTGAAATAGGGAAGCTGCCCCCTGGTGGAAAAAATGTGCAACAGCAACACTCAAAACATGGTTTAAAGGCATTTCTCCCATCTATTCTTTACTTTTGGCCGAGCTCTAGTTAGGGTCTTGTGATGACACTAATTTCTGTCCTCTGCTCTCCTGGGCTTTCTGTTGTGTATGTTTTATCATGTGGGCTTGTCTGTGTGTAAAGCCCTTTCTCACATACACTAACCAGAGTGTGGTAATGTGAAGACATTAATACTCAAGGTGTAGATGACTCTGTAAATTACCGTGAGTGCCGTAATTCCTCCCCGGCAAGTGTTAATCCGTCTAAAATGACGATATGGCTCGTTTTCATAACTGTCCCTAGAAAATAAAACCCTTACCACTGTCACCAACATCCCCCTAGCTTTGGTTCACCCGCCCCCTTCAAAAACAGACAGCCAAGGATAAACACTGCAGAGCCTCCCTTCTGCTGCTTTAAGGGTCACGATAAGCATTTTCCTTCAATCATTCTGACTCCCAAGTGGTTTTCATTTCCTGGTTTACAAGTGCAGTAATGACATCAAATTGTGTTGCTCAGGCTCTCGGTCATAAACAAACTGCCATCTGATGTCCTGCATATTCTACTTCCTGCTGACTTGGTTGCAGCAGGTATTTATAGGAGACATGGCAGCACACAGTTATTTAACCAGGATGCCTGACTCAGAGAGCAGATCCTTATTTACAGTCCTGGACCGGTCCCCAGGGCGGTTTGCACAGGGTTAAACACGGCTCACACCCTTAGCCTGAAGCTAAGTGCTGCCAGGAGCGTTTCTTAATTCTCATTAGCATAACATGAATCTTTTATAATCCCTGTAGAGAAATTTCGCTTCACGTTATTATCAAGCACAACCCTTTCACCACTTTGTTCCTACCCTTACAAGGTTTTAAAAGCCTCTCTGTATGGCTGCATGCTACTTATTGTGCAGTGTGTCTTGGTGCAAGTTAGTAAGGTGTCATTATGTGTACTGTGCATCCTGTTTCCCTGCAAATGAATTTGTTTCAAAAGGACAGTGACTGCAGGCCTTTCTGCGAGCTTATCTGCCCATCTCCCTCTGTTGTGTGCGTGCGATTACATGCTTACCCTCCCAACTTTGGTTTTACTTGTTTAGATGTTGAGAAAGGCTTCATAAAATGCATTCATAATTTATTAGGTCTGTCTTGGTCATTAAGCTAGCTAGACAAAAGAGTCTGAGGCTGCTGGGAGTGTTGTTAGTTTGGCGAGATCTCGGACAAAGTTACATTTTTCAGTTGTCTTGCCCTAAGGTTACGCTCTAAATATGACTGTGTGTGTGCGCGGGTGCGTGGATGACATACTGTTCACACGCTCACAGATTCTGAGTGTTGCGATTGCGTGAAACATAGAAAATGTGTGCAGCCTGTCTCGTGGGTATTTGTAAATCACAGGGTGAGGCTAATGTCAGAGCTTAGAGAGACCTTTTCCTGGATACAGTGGATAATCTGCTTTGATATGGGGGTGGGGGCATGTTGACTCCTGTGCCTTCTCTTTCCTCTTGTTCTGGTGCTGGCTAGGGAAAGCCTTCTCTGACTGTTCAATTAGGCTGATTAAAGCAGTAGCTGTGTGCGTCCATAGAGAGCACCTGTAACCATGAGTGAGTGGCTCTGCGTAAGAGGATCTCAGAGGAAAGATGTAAATGACTAATCAGCACTGCCTGAAAAAACAGCCACCAGTAAAAAGCCATGGTGTGTGTGTGTGTGTGGGTGATGTGTGTATGGATGTGACTGCAAACCGAGTACATAGTAATTGTAGGTGTTGGGATATGTAAATATCCCACAGTATGTTTTTTGCATCTATTTCAATGTCTGTGGGCGTTTGGGGAAACTGTGATTAACTGAATTCAGCTACATTATGTGTGCTAATGTGTGTTTTGCTCTTGTAGAGCTCCATGGAGTCTCCAAACCTGGAGTTTGAGTACGGAGACACGGACACACTGACTGCAGAGCTCTCTGGTAAGACCACAGACCGTCATCCGTTGGCTTTGGACTTTGTATTCGAAGCCTCAGAATTACCATTTTGACCACCGCTGCGCTTTTGTGGCCGTATTTGAATGACAGGTGCGAAGTTTCACCCATCAAAAATGGAGCACAGCCATCTGGATGGTCAGTACCACACAGCGGGCCATATTACTCGTCAAACGATTCCAATAAAATTACTTTAACAGCCACCAAAAGCGAAAACACGATGCAGGTGCAGATCAGCGACTCGATTGACAATCTGTGTTGGGACACCTGTCAGTCGAAAAGCTGCCAGAGCAGACTTACAGTCATGTGAAAAAGGAACATTTTCACAGGGCTCGATGCAGTGCTGTGCATCTAGTCTGTGCATAATAAATATTCTCCATTGGGGAGGAATTTTGGCTCACTCTTCTTTACACCGTTGCTTCTGTTGATTAAGAGTCACTGACGTTCATTTATACAAAGCTCTCTTAGGGTCCCACTGCAGCATTTCAGTCGAATTGAGGTTTTGACTGGGCCACTGCAGTCATTCTTTGATTCTTTTCTTTTCTTTTTCAGCCTTTCCCTTTGTAGATTTGCTGGATTGTTTTGGAACATTATCCTGCTGTATCTCTCAGTTTTAGCCAAGCTTTAGCTGTCAGACAGATAGCCTTACATTTGACTCAGATATGGACTCAAATGTGAAGGCCATTTGAGTACAGTTATGTTTAGAATACAAGTTTGAGATGAGCTTTGTGACATGGCGCAGAACATCAGAACATGGCTAAACAACATTGGAGTAGGCTTTCACATTTAAAAGATACTTTGTCGGTACTAAGAGATCCAAGATATGCCAAGAAAATATCCCCCAATTTTTAAGCCCAAACCAACCTATACAGAGGACTTTGCGGTTGATCTGTCTGCAAGGTACCCAGGTCCTGTGGCTGCAAAACAAACCCAAATCATCACCCCTTCACCACCATGCTTTATAGTTGGTATCAGATGTTTACCCTAATATGCTGCGTGTGCTTTCCATCAAACATGGTGCTGTGTCTATTACAGTCAAATGTCACCTCAAACACTTTATGTTGTAAGGCAAACACCCTACAATGATACAGAGAAAACCCCAGCCGTGAGACAACCCCCTCTGAGTAAGTACTTTGGTGACAGTGGGAAGGTAAAACTCCCTTTTAACAGGAAGAAACTTACAGCAGAACCAGGATCAGGGAGGGGCAGCTGTCAGCTGTAACCGGTTTGTTCAGATGCAACTTTGCAAATCTAGTGTTGAATAGCAGGACCTGGCTGCTTCTTTTTCTCCTAATTCTTATGGAAGCAGTGAGTGTGGACTGTATAGACTGCTGTGAAAACTTTCTCATGACTGCAGATCAAAGATCTATGTCTGCTTGTTATGCATGACAGAGCTCTTCGCCCACAGAATTCCTACGGTGACACCCCTGTTTCTACTTAGCATAGGAACGAGAATGTGCCATTGATTTGAAAAATAAATCAAACATCCACATTCCTCAGGATCCTTTCAGCTGTTTTATGTTACACATGCAAACAAAGAGAGTCGGCGAGAACAGCGATGAAGGCGCAGAACAAAAATCTTTTGGTGCGTGCTGGTATTTTTTTTTTTTTTTTGCCACGCACAGAAAAAATGACTAACACTAATCATTAACACTGATTATTCATTCAGAACCGCAGCATCTGTGTAAGGTGGTAACAGCCTGTACTTGACTTGGAGCTTGGTTAATAATGTTCCTTTCAGGGCCGAGTACAAAAAGATTATTTAGAGAGCATATTATTTATTTTCTCCGATCCGGCTGGTGTGCTGAGAGAAACGTTGAATAAGTGTGTCGATTTGAAGTCAGAATGATGGTCCACCTGGTAGATGGCAAACGGCAGCTGATTTGCCAAAAAGGTTAGTCACACACAAACGGGCAAGACAGTCACCGCGGCTTTCTGCCGACAGCTCCTCGGGGTAAGGGAATGACGACTGCTCCGAGAACAGGAGGAGACGCGTGACTGTGTGACGGATCTTTAGACTGCGCATGAAACAGACCAAGGAGGACAGCTGCTCAAAGCATCAGAGCATATAATAAACATCATACGGTTACAATAATGTGAATGTGAAGGGGATGCATACATACAAACCTGAATTTTCATTATTATATTATAACTTATGGCAGAAAATAATTCATCTCCTTAATTATATGCAGCATTTACAGTTTGTCATGTGCATGTGTGCTTTTTGTGTTGTGCGTAGTGGGCTGCAAAGTCGTCCTATTTCATTCTCCTGCTGGTCTTGATGTAGGTGTCTTATTATAAGTGTCGCTATAATATTGAAAGGCCCTTAAGCTCTGTAAAAATCTGGGATTTCCGAGTTAAATTTGTTGTTTTTCGCTGTAGATGGAGGTCTATCTGTGTCTTGACCTCACCCGTCGAGCGTGGGCGGACGGATATTTTGCCAATTCATAATCTCTTTGGCTTTTAGTAGATTGCGGAATACGTTTTCTTTGCACTGCATTGTTATTTGGGTTATTTTAATCGGTGTTTGCACAGCACTGTTGTTGTGAGGCTTAGCTCTTGGTTTTGCAGGGCTTTGGAATGAAGGTTGTTTAGAGAGATAGATGCAGAGTAATTTTAAGAAAAAATCAGAATTTTTGCATGCTTGTTAGTGGATCTGCATTCTTATTTACATGCATACAGCTGTGGTTACAGAGTATGTGCTACTTTATTAGTTACACCTTGCCAGTACTGAGTTGGACCCCTTTTATCCTTCAGAATGGACTTAATTCTTAGTGGCATCAATTCAACAAGATGTTGCACTTTCACCACCACATCCTCACTGTGCTCTTTTCTATTGAGTGACATTTAAATGCCCACACCGCCATCACCACAAGCCTGAACCATTGACATAAGGCATGATGGATCCTATCAGATTGTTCATGACAAATTTTGACTCTACATCCAAATATCGTAGTAGAATTTGAGTGTTTTTTCAGTCTTCTGTTGTCCAATATTGTTGAGCCTATGGTAATTTTAGTGTCTTCTTAGATGAAAGGAGTGACACCTGGTATGGTCTCCTGCTGTAGCTCATCTGCTTCAAGGTTCCATGTGTTCAGAGATGCTCTTCTGCATACTTTGTATTGATTGATTATCTGAGTCACTGTTGCTTTCCTATCAGTTCAAAACAGTCTGACATTCCTCCTCTGACCTCTTGCATCAACAATGCATTTTCTTCCAGAGAACAGCCGCTCACTGGATATTTTCTCTTTTTCAAGCCAATCTCTGTAAACCCTAGAGATGGTTGTGTGTGAAAATCCCATTAGATCAGCAGTTTCTGAAATACTCAGACCAGCTCATCATCCACATTCAAAGTCACTTAAATCACCTTTCTTCCCCATTCTGATGCTCAGATTGTACATCCACAGTCATCCAGGCTGTGTGTAATTCATTAAGTTGCTGCCCTGTGATTGACTGATGTTTGGTGTTTGGTGGTGGGTCTACCTTGGGACTAACAGATTCCTACCACGTAAAAGTGCAGTGTCTGTTGGACTCTCATTCAGATCCATCCCTAGCTCTTTACAAACCTGTCAGACGCACGTCTCTGGGTGTGACTGTACTGGTCTATAATGGAGGGACATCTTATCATCACGTTTATTTATATGTACATTATATGAAGCCGGAAATGAATTCAGACTTATGATAAACACGTCTTCAATTAATTCTTTGTCTCCAATGTTAACAGTAAATACATTTATTTCGTTAGAGCTTATACAAGTCTGCAGACTCAAAAAACTTCTGAAAATCAGTAAAATGTGAATTTCTTTTCTATCAAGGAAATCTAGGACTCTTGGGATACTACGGAATAATTCATCTGGACAACTGCTGACTGAAATACCACAGCATGGTTTGATTTATCCAAGCCTTTTGGAGCAGATGCTACAAAAACATCCCAATTGCATTACAATATTGAACAGCTTCAACACTGCACAATGCAGTTTGGGGAGTGCTGGATTTGAGCATTTCATTTTTAGCCCTTAACTTTAAAAGCCTGACGGGGTACTGTCGTCAGTTCACCGGGCCGGCAGCATGGACGCACCCAAGTTTGTGAATGTGATAACTTAAGAGCAAGTTGACGTAGGAGCTTCAAGTTGATACCATAGGTATATCTACTAAAGATCTCGGGCGAGTTTGAATCTCGGTGAGCTCAACCTTAAAGTCAAGGTCAGAGGTCAGGTTTTCTCAAAATCTTTTGATTCGAGAACAAGGCGCTGTAGGATTTCGAATCCTCTGCTAGGAGGCTCATCTTTCTTCTGATGTATTCTTTTCATTCTCTTACTCTTGGGGAATTATTAGCGGGTTTAAATTGCTTCTCAAGCTCTAGAATTAACTGGAAATTGGTTTTCCATTACTGAGTGGGTTATAGTATTTATTTCATCCCTGATTGTATCCTGTTGTGTCCACAGAGCTCTACAGTTACACAGAAGAGCCAGAGTTTGCCCTCAACAGAGACTACTTCGAGGAGGACTTCAGAAGCCATGGTAATGTGTGCGTGTGTGTGTGTGTGTGTCCCTTCAAGTTCCAGAATTACAAAATTGCACTTGCACACTAAAGGCTGTAAAAGCGACGTGTTCAATGAGCTGCTGTGGTTTACAACCTGACCGGTGAGGTGAGGCGAGGCGAGGGTGAGCAGACACATCAAAGCTCTGCTCTTTTAAGCTGTTCAAAGAATTGATATCCCTACAGATTGAAGGGGCCACCCTTAAAGCATGTGATTAACGTTTGGTTATCGAGAACAAAGTGGCTTTTCCAGTCTGTACGTCGGCGTTATTATCAGCCTGACAGGATCGAGCTTTAATACGGTGTTGCTTTATCTGCTTTTGTGTGGAAAATTGCATTAAATTACGTTTTTCCTGTTGAGCAAGAAGAAAAACTTTCTTCTTGATTTATTTTATTGTGACAAAGTCGGGTTTTCTGTATTGAGGGAGGTATTATTTTTAGGTTTAGGGCGTTACATCAAGTCCTGCAGAGACTGTGTCGAGGCGCCCTTTGTAGACGGTTTGAATCAGAAGTGAGTGGTCCTCGCCGTCTGTCACTTTCCCTCCATGCTGTGTGATGATGAATAGCAGAATTAGATGAGAGCTTCACTGTTTTATGGAGGAACAGAGGACAGAGCTGCCTGTTTGCATCACTGTCTTTCCATTAGTGTTTATATGTGCGGTTTCCTGTTTGACTCGTCCTTTTTGTGGACGTGTTAGTGTAGCATGTGAGAGCTCATCAATGTTTTATGCTGCTACCCTCCCAGTCACTCTCATGAATTACAGTTATTATCAAGGCACGTCTAATTGATGGTCTTTGCTGTTTAAAAAAAACGTTTTTTGTGATGTGTGCTGAAATTAGAACGTTTTTTGTGTGTTTTCCTTGCACAAGTGAGAGTGTGTTAAGTTGAAAGAGATCAGTGAGGATGCTTTACTCCTTAATGCTTATCACTGCCTGTCTAATCAACTGAAGAGTCTAAGAGTAGAAGATGGGAGGAAATAAATCCCATAGTCCTTGCTAGAGACTGACACATTTCTGCAGTGCTGCTGTTTTTGTAGTTGTTTGAGGTGCACTCAGACTTAGTTTTTGCTAGTCTTAAAAATAGTGTTTTTTTAAAGCATACATCAGGTTTCTCCTCATTGCTTTCAGCTATCTCCAAAGCTAATGCAGTGAGCCACAACATACAAGTCTGCCAAAATATCTGAATATAATGGATTCCCAGATGGCAGAACTAACAGCTACTTTTGCAGTTAGCTTAATTAATTGCATGCACGGCACAGTGCAGTAAAATTAAAGCTGGAAATTTGCACTTTAATCACATCTTAATTGTTTGATATGTAATCCACTGTGATGAAGAAAACTCCTAACGAGAACAGGAAATGATAAGTACCTCGTTTGTGCAACAGCCAATGAGAATCCTGGGTTTACGACATCCATGTTACTATAGGAAACGGCTTTAGTGCAGCACGTAGCAACTGCATCATTCCTTGACCGTAGCAAACCAAGGTACGAGGACTGTGTCATTATTATAAAATTATTTATTCTTGTTATTTTGAAAAATTAACTTCCCTGTAGATTCAGATTGTTTTCAAGTTTCTTTTCCTCACTTTTTCCTCCACTTATTCCTCCACTCGCATAAAAAAATGCTGCAAAGTGCATCAAAACTTTGAAAAAGTCGACACAGATACACTCGGAGTTCTCTAAGGCACAGAAAAAAAATACAAATTAAATTTATCTGACTGCAACCTTGAACCTTTTGTTTCTGTGTCCTTTCTGCAGCTCGAGGCAGGCGGTGGATCGAGCTGACGGTGGAGGAGCAGAGGGCGTATGTAATGAGGCTGCTGGACGCGCTGGAGGTGACGGACAGGGACAAGAGGCTGAAGGTGGCCAGGGCCATCCTCTACCTGGCTCAGGGTGTGTGGGCTGCACAAAATACAAGCCTTTTTCACAGCAGACATTTAGGTTTTAGAGGAAACGCACATGTCTTGCTGTTAATATTAACCATGGCTAAGTCTTCAACAAGGTCGTGACAGTGAGCCAGAATGCACAGCACCTGAAATAGAATGATTTCATTATTTACACCGGTCACTGCTATTCTGCCATCATTTGCTTCGAATAGTCATCACTTCTCGCCTTGTTTCTCCAGGAGTGTTTGATGAGTGTGACACAGAGGTGGATGTCCTCCACTGGTCCAGGCACAACATTTTCCTGCTGTACGACATGGGCATCTTCACAGCACTGCTGGAGCTGCTTAGCATGGAGATAGAGTGAGTAAGACACCCTGGTTATAAATGTAACATTGTTCTTTATGCAGTGCTGCAGGGATGTTTCCAGGCTGGGGTGCGAAGCGCTCCTGGGGGAGTAGATGCTCCATCGCCCTCCTCGCCCTTCTTGTGGATCGCCTCAGCTGCAATGCCCGTTCGGGTCCCCTTCGCTGGGGCGCCCCCGGCGGGTTGACTTAGAATGAGTGCAGACTGTTTAATTAAAACAAAATTATCAAAAAGAATAGAACAATTATAGAAAACTGAGGTACAAACCTCTGTCCTATTGCAGATTTATTATAAGAAAAGTGGAGATTCAAACAAGCTTTTTATGGGCTGGCATAGAAGCATGCTGCTGCCATCCCATGTCCCCTTGTAGACATGCCCCTGCAGTGCAGTGAAAAAGTTTCTTTTTTGTTATATTTCTTACTCTTACATGTTTCAGATCATCAATTTTTAACATTAGACAAATATAAACTAGTAAATACAAAATGCAGTTTTGTAAATGATGATATCATTAATTGAGTGAAAATGCCAACCTCGTCTTGTGTGAAAAAGTAATTGCCTTGTAAACACAAATACAAGTTCACGTCTTAGTCTAACTCAGAATAAGTAAGGGAGAGAGGGGCTAGCATTCCCTGGGGATCAGAGAGAAAACAGAGAGAGAGAGAGAGAAGTGAGGAATATGCAGAGGCTGATGAAGATGGTCAGCCAGGCAGAGATGAAGCTGAAGCTGAACAGACAGATGGCTGTGATCTAATCATAAATCCAGTCCATCATTTGATGATGTGGTCAGTTAAAGATGACTAATGTATGCAAACTTGCCACTTTAGTTACATGGTCATATACAAATGTAATGATACTGGGAGCGCATTGTAACTGGATACATAGCACTACACCTCTGTTCTTAATTACTTCAGAGAGGCAGAGACACATAAAAGGCTGCTGAGGAGAGACTATAGGTAGCGCGCCGCCTGTGATCAACAGACCCCTTCACTGGGAACGTGGCGTGACAAAGGCTCCTTCAAGCCAGCTTTGTTGCTGCTGGTGTCAGCCTCAGTTGGGCTTCAGTGCTGCTTTGTTGTTACATAAGCTGCTGCGAGGCATCTTCAAGTTGCATAGAGCTGCAGAGCAGGGCGGTTTCAGCAAGACGAGCAGGAAAAACATGATGAAGTGTTAATCATACAGGTACAGGTAGTCTCACCTGCGATGTATTCAGAGACTGGCTTGCCACGTTCAGATAATCCACTAAAATCATGTAGCGTTTGTTCCCGCAGCAACAGCCAGGCGTGCAGCAGTGCGGTGAGGAAGCCTGCCATCTCTCTTGCAGACAGCACAGAGCTCAGGTAAGCAGCATAAAACCGATTCAACTTCCTGTCTGCTTCAGATCAGGAGGCCAATAAATACCGTTTAAAAATAACCAAAATGCTTAACTTCATGCCATCTGGCCTAATCTGCAAAATGTAATTGTATTCGCTGACTGTTGTCCTCACATTCATTTTCACTCTACTTCTGCCTAATGAAATTGATTTTTTTTAACACAACAGGCCTTACACACAAACACATGAAATCATACGATTCACACACATACAGTAGCGCAGACGGTGCATTCCCTAGATGAACACTTACAAATAATTACAAGCTAGACGAGTGGATTTGCCCTTAATTACTGCCGCAGAACCGAAAGCCATTATAGTCCTTTTGAACCGAGCGAGAAGCTTTGTTGAGCGAACAAAGCATTTAATGTACAAAACACCACCTGTATTGCATCAGATAATTACGAGGGAATGGCTGCATTATCCAGCCAGAGCTCGGAGATTATTTTTTCTTAAATGCGCGAGCAATTTGCAAAACCAAGCGCTACTTGCTTATAATTTCCTCTGTTATATCAATGATTCTTGTACTTATAGGCCATTTAGGGCCATTGTATCTGGTCAGGGCAGCAGTTAAATGCATGCCACACACAGACAAATGCACACATAACCTCAATGTGCCCATGATGAGTTCTTTGGATGTTTCTTTTTCTCGCAGAGTCTTACTGAGCATCATGTACTTGATGGTGGAAACCATTAGAGTGCAAACAGAAGACGACCGACCTGAGTGGATAGCAGCCAGAGAGACCTTCAAGAATGAGCTCGGTGTGTGCGTGTGTGTTTATTCAGTATTTTGAAGTTGCATGAGTATATCTTTTCATTGGCTTTCATGCTGCATGTCATTTTATTCCATTTAAAAACATTGCCTTTGACCCCCCCCTCCAGCTTCTCCTCTTTACAACGGAGAGCCCTTTGCTCTACTGCTTTTCACCATGGTGACCAAGTTCTGCAGCATGAACGCGCCACACTTCCCCATGAAGAAAGTACTACTGCTGCTGTGGAAAACAATACTGGTCAGTGTGTTACAGTCATGGTTGTTGCATGTAATGCAAATAAATCTAAATCTATTTCTGTCCATGTCTGCATTTTTGTTTTGCTTTTTTTTTTTTTTTTTTTTTTATTTTTTTTTTTAAATAAAACAAGTTTCACAAACACTCAGCGCCCACTTCATTATTTAGACCTTGCTGGTACCTGGTTGGGCCTTATTTTGCTTTCTTAGCTGTGTTAATAGTTGGTGGCATAGATTAAACAAGGTGCTGGAAATATTCCCCAGAGATTTTGGTCCATATTGACATGATGGCATCGCACAGTCGCTGTAAATTTGCTACTCTGTTGCATTGACATCTGGTTTTATGCTGCTGGAAGCAGCAGTCAGAGGATGGGTACACTGTGGCCATAAAGGCATGACAAGGTCAAAAACAGTACTGTGTCTTGTAGGCTGTGACGTTTAAATGATACAAAATTGCCACTGCGGGGCCCAAAGTGTGCCAAGAAAGTGTCCACAGTATTACACCAGCAGCAGCCAGAACGGTTGATACAAGGCAGGATGGATTCATGCTTTTATGTTGTTTACACCAGATTCTGACCCTGACGTCATCAAGGCATTTTCTCCCAGAGAACTGCCAATCATTGGATAGTTTCCTTTTTTTTTTAATACCATTGTCAGATGGCTATGATGTGGAAAATCTGAAATATACACAGCCCATCTGACACTACCATGCCAGGTTGAGCCACTTGGATTGTCTTTCCTCACCATTCTGGTGCTCAGTTTGAACTCCAGCAGGTCGTGATGACCACGTCTACATGACTAAATACACTGAGTTGCTGCCATGTGATTGGTTGATTGGGGGGGAAGTCAAACAGGCTAATATTGCCCCATGATGGGAAGGTCGGGGGTTCGAATCCACTGAACGGCTACCCTGAGCAAGGTACCGTCCCTGCACACTGCTCCCTGGGCGCTGTACTGGTGGCTGCCCACTGGGTGAATGGGTTAAATGCAGAAGAGTTATTTCCCTATGGGGACTAACACATACACATTATTGTTTACAAAATTAATTCCGCTGTTAATAGACATTACTTAAACTTAGTTGCTAATGTTTTATAACAAATGAATCATTGTTTACCTGGGTCTTTTCTGTCTTTCAGTTTACTTTGGGAGGTTTTGAGGAGCTCCAGGAGATGAAGGTGCGACACCGGGAGCGTCTCAACCTGCCCCCACTGCCAGAGGACAGCATCAAGGTGGTCAGGGCCATGAGAGCGGCCTCGCCCCCGGCCTCCGCCATGGAGCTCATCGAACAGCAACAGCAGCAGAAGAGAGGCCGCCGCAGCCGCAGGGTACTAGCCCTCAAGCACACACGGATCTCACACTGAAGCTAAATCCATTTAGACAACGTTTAGGTGACAGTGTCACTTTAGTGTATATTGCTGGCATGCTGTTATTAATACAAACTAATGTAATGTTGATCAGTTTCATCTATCTACCCTAGTAGACTCTCACTCTCTAACTCTTTGCTGGGTCACCTTTTTCCAAAAGTTCCAACATCATCAGTTCCCTGCTGTAAGTCAGTGACCACAGATGATCTTGGTGCTCGGACAGCTTTGAGAATCCCAGCCTCTCTATTTTTTTTAATACTACAAAGTTTGACTGGACAGGCTTCCTCTTTAATTGCCCCTCTTCCTTCCTTGTGTCCCCACAGAGTGCCTTTGTTGATAGCTTGGAAGGAGACAGTCCTTTTCCCAAGAAGCAGGTCTTTACCCACAAGTTCCCTCTTATTCTCCTGCATTTTCTTTCTGCACTGAGCTAGACTTTTTGCACTCCTCTCCCACATCCCTGCAACCCGCCCCGTGCAAAATCTCCTCTCTCTGCCACTTTGGCTTCCTTTTTCTCCTTCTACCTGCGTTTACTTTTCTCCTCTACGTGTCCTAACTGTTGCCATTTAAAACTCATCCAGTCCCGACCGGATGCACTGCACTTGTCAGATAATTTACCTGATTTAAATTGGAGTTTGAAGTTATCCACTGGGCAAACTCTTTAGTGTTTGAATAGATAATGGATTGGCAAAATTCTGATGTTATAGATGGTTTTGGTGCAGCCTTACATTCTACCTAATTTCTAATACTCCATTTAATTGTTTCCAGCTTCATGCACATGTGTGTATTTCTTTTGCTTTCCTTTAAGTCTCCTGTTATTTTAATCATTTTTGCATGCTTCTGTTTTAATCCTCCAAGTGTCCCTCATTCCCTTCCCCTGCTTTGCTTTTCCATTTTGTCTTCTCCCCTCTTTTATTTGTGCTCATATTCCACTATTTTCCCCTCTTTTCGTTACTCTTTCTTCCTCCTCTTCCTCCTGGGGCGGCAGGGTTTGAGGGACAGGGCTGACTTGCTGGCTGTAATCACTGGCGCTGGAGCAGTCCCATAAAGAAAGCTCACTTCAGACATCAACAGTAGGAGCATCTCCCTTGTAGTTTTCATCACATTGCTACTGGGTTTGGTCTCAAAAATCACCTTGCACCGTAGAGTGTGGACTAGGGGTCAATGTCTTTAAAATGCATTCATTGAGGAGGTGAATTGAGATCACCGCTACTGTAGTTTTACTTCTGCAGGTGCTGTATTGTAGGTTTCAGTTGACCTCTCTCGTAAATGGATGGCATTAAAAGCAGTTGCCCCCTAACCCTGGTAGAAAAAACCACTAGCTTTACCTCCCACATAGCAGAGAATGGCTTTTCCATAGAGAATGGCTCACGACACAGTCTCACCTTCTCCTCTCCCTCTTCCCACTCCCTCGCTCCCACCATACACTCACTATTAGTGCTCACTTAGCATTAGCGCTACCACTGATACACCAATACTGTACATCAACTCCAGTAGCTCAACTAATGCCCCGAACGCTGACTCATGCCTGATGCTTGCACTCTTACCACAATCATTCATTGTAGAAGTAGAAAACAAAGATGCTTTGTGTGTGTGTGTGTGTGTGTGTGTGTGTGTGTGTGTGTGTGTGTGTGTGTGTGTGTGTGTGTGTGTGTGTGTGTTTGGCACTTAAGAGTTCAATATGAACACTGTCTTTTTGAGACTGCCGCTTGCGTTTTTACCCGTTTCTTCAGTGCAGATGTGTGGTGTGTGGTAAGTTTAATCAGACATGCTGCTTGTGGTGTTGTGGAAGTCTTTCTTCAATATATCACATTTGTTTCACAGGTTTTTGACAGGACACAGTAACCTAAGAGAGTTAAAAGAACATTTCAAGAAATCTGTTGCTTCAGTTTTTTATGCGGAATATCTGTTAGCTTAGCATAAAGACTTAAAGCGTAATAAACATGTGTCTATGTAGGTTTCCAGCCATCCAGCTTATTTCAGTCTCACGCACTTGAGGTGAAGGCAACTGGACTTCATGTAGCAGGGGACTTTATCAAAGAGTGTTTGGTGGCTAAAATGGGACAAACTGCCTGTGCCTGACCGGCCTCAGTGAGGTTAAAGGAAAAATAGGATTCAGAAGTAAATAATAATGCAAAGGGCCGAATGCCTCCAGGTCTGGTGTAGCATGACGTGCAATTAAACAGCTAACCCAACTCTAAGCTAATGTTAAAAAACAAATAAATATCCTCCTATAAGGTTTTTTATAGACTTTTTATTATTATTAAACATACCTTAGCTCTAAACCTCAATAATTTGCTTTAGGGGTGCTGGTTGACAGCTTAAATATCAATGACCAAAAAGCCCAAAGAAACAGTTAGCTTAGCTTTGCGTATTAGTATAGTATCAGTATTTGATAGTATTTTGATAAAACAAACATAGTTCCCTCCAAACGTCAAAAAGACTGCTATTACTGCTTCTAATGTGTGTTAATTAGTGAGCTTTAAAGGTGTTTGCAGATGCTATAACACTACATTTAATATGGAATGATGTCAATTACTTTCGTTTAGCTTCAAGGGGAAGCTGCCTCTTTCTATTTAAAGGTTAAGAGGAAGGCTATCACTGCCTCAAAATAATGAAATTTGATATTAAGTGAGCAATAGAGGTGGAGATCCCTAAAGCTAGCCTCCTGTATACAGCTTCATATTTAAGTCACACACATACACATCCACCCACACAGGTGTATTCATTCCTGTGTAATTAGACCACTTCACAGGTCTGTGTGGGTGTGTGCAGATATATTGCGGTTTGTTTTGCTGTTAAGAAGCTGTGCACATTTGTCATTCTCATTATTGTAACTGTGACATGTAAATCTCAACATGTATTGACTTCAGCTTCACTTGGGTCGTAATTAGCCTCTGTGCTAAGGTGATATGATGCATAATAGTGGAGTCAATCTTCTCCTCTGCTATCCTTTAGCAGAGGAGAAGATGTATTTCCCATTGAGGTACACTTACACACTTTTTGAAGGCTGTGTGTTTTCAGTGTGACCAGTATGTGGTGCCTCACAAATACCTCCGTCAGCAGCTTTCTTTAATACTCCTCCTGCAGCAGGTTTGCTTCAGCTGTCCCTGAAGAGTCCTCACACTGAGACTGCATTGCTATAAATTATATACTATAGGTCCAACTACTAACCACATATGGAACGCTTGAGCTGAAAGTGTGTAGTTTTTAGTATGCGTGTGAATTTTTTGGCACTTTAATTAAAACACATCGTCTTATGGAGTAAAAATGGTATCTGGTGCACTGCTTCCTGCAGTCTAGATAGAAGCACCTTAATTCCTTTTGCATGATTTTATATACATTTGCAGAGAAAAAGGTGCTTAAAGCTGATAAACTCACAGGTAAAGTTTATATGGTGGATTTTCAATCACTTCTTGGTTTTGCAGTGAAAACTGGAATTTATTATGTCTTAAAAATTTGGACGAGCTGCTAACTCCTTGGTTGCACAGTAGGTGCATATCTGACCTCCTTCCCCTCCTCTCCCCTCTGTCTCCCAGCCCCTGGTCAAGCAGGACAGCTTGGACACGTACAACGAGCGAGACCCCTTTAAGAACGACGACGCCCGGGACGAAGAGGAGGACCCTGAGGACACGGACAGTGGTATTGAGGGTGAGGTAGACCCTCTGGACCGCGACGTCATCATCCAACCGCCACCACCGCCACCTCCTCTAAGACCACCGACAGAGAGGGTCAACTTCCCCAAAGGTCTTCCTTGGGCCCCTAAAGTCAGGTTAATAAAAAAAATGTTGTTGCAATCTGTATTCCTAAAAGTCAGAAAGTTGTTCATGATATGACGTTTTATTCTACAAAGGTTCCAAAGGATTGGTTGGTTTGTTACCATGGTGACCACTGGGGTACAGGAAACTTCAGCTGGGACATGACGGGAAGGTGGTGTCTGTTTCCCACCCTGGTTTCGAGAAGTTAAAAGTAGATCTTAAACACAACCTCCTCCAGATTTCTCTCCTCGCCAACGTCCAACAATATGCTCTCCATCTGTGTATTTCAGACACAAGCCTGGGTGTCTCTGCAGGGGGCTGCTGTTGAATAATACATCTCAGAGAAGACAAACACTTTATAGCAGTGCATCAGTTAAAGCCTTTTCTTTAACTGAGCCGTGTCACTGGGCGCTCTCGTTACTGTGTGTTTTTTCTTTGGTCAGAGCGCTGCATCACACAATGGTGATTAGACTCTGATCAGTAGGAGGTTCTTAACCCTTCTCACAGAGAACAGCAGCAGCACACCGTGTGCCCGATGAGATTTGAGAGGGAGCTGATGCAGTACGCTGTGACCTTGTGTTGTGTGCGTTTATGTGGGTGTGTGCGCACATATTTGTGGCTTAAATCTCGCTTAAGTCTGCTCCTGTGTCTTCAGGGAGAAAGACATCGAGCACTTCCTCGAGACGAGTAGGAACAAGTTCATCGGTTTTACTCTGGGGAAGTAGGTGCTTCATCTAAGACTGTTAAATATCTGTATTCATTCAGTTTTTGCCGACTTCTTCATTCGAGTGCTGTTCGTTACTTTACAGTGACACAGAAACCCTGGTGGGCTTACCCAGACCCATCCATGAGAGTGTCAAGACTCTTAAACAGGTGAGTGTGGGAATTACTGTGGGATTATTTTCTATGTTTTTGACTTAGTAAGTCATTCTTACACAAATTCACATTTCTAGATGCCCTTATCCACTTCCTTGTGGATATAGTCTCCGTTAATCAATACTCCCACACTGTTGAATCCTCTTGAAATTGGCCTCCCACTGAAAAATCCATAACGTCTTCATAGAACAGACTGATATGCTTAATCACACAGCTCTGGGTGTCAGCCGACGATGCTAATTAACAATTATTCTCATATGTTTTTGTTTTTTTCTCCAGCATAAGTACATGTCCATTGCTGAAGTGCAGATCAAAAGGGAAGAGGAGCTGCAGCAGTGTCCACTGACTCTGGTCAGCAATCCTACCAGGCTTGTGTATAATATAGAGTGTATTACAGGGAGCAGGCACAACTGTAATGATTTCTCCAAGCACGCCTGATTTAAGACTTATTAGGCTTATGCACCAGACACAGTAACCTCACAAATACATTAAAAATGAAGAAAGTACCATTCCCATCAAGCCAAACTCTTTGCCAGCTATACATATTTAAGGTTTAGAACTGCATCTTGCACAGTTGGCATAAGCGGTCCTTCAGATCTCTGTCCACTGATCAGCTACAGCCGTAAACCACCTGCCTGATACCGTGCTGGTGCCACGGCAACATCTCTGCTCCAGTGTTGTTGGAGCCTCCGTGTATCCGACGTGTTCCAGTGACTGCCGCGGGCATTTACTTGACATATACAGTACATGAATCATAGGACCCCAGGCTTCCCAGCAGAAGGTTGCATCCTAAATGTCTGAGGTCCTCACCCAAACTCTGCGGGTGATAACAAACACCTGTGAATGTGATTCATGCTGCTAGTGTCCATGACCTTATCCCGTCAGTCACTACCCACAGCTTGTGACAGCAGGTGAACATAAATGAAAAATATATCTATATATACCGGAAATATATATATGCGTGATACTGCATAGATCTAATTCACATAACTGCAAAGTATTTAACCCCATGCTCAATGCTTATGTAGGTTATGTCGTGGTCTCTACAAAGATTCACTGCAGAAGTTTAAATCAGCCACAAGTCCACAGCATTGCAGTTTTTTGGAGCATCTCCAGGGCAGGTGAAGCCAGTAGGACCACACTGGCTGCAAGAAGGAATCATGTGATCCAGAGATCTGTTAATTCTTACCAATACAAAGACATTGTTTTGCCTTTGGACAGATGTTGTCAGCGCGGTAACATTAAAACTGTGTGAAATACAGTGGCTGATGTCAAACTTGAGCATGAACGTGAATATAGGTCTGGTTCAGCAACATTAACTCGATCGATTGGCTGTGATCACATCATGTGATTGGCTCTAATTTCCCCAATTCTGTCAGTGTTGAGCTTATATCTGCCTTTGTTCAGGTGTTTGAACTTAAATTTGGAAGAAAGATTCGAATGTTGCCCTATTGAGCACTCAGTGTTGACTTTCCACTGTATGCACGTGTTATCTCCCAGGGTGAAGAGGAAGTGGAGGACACAGCAGCAGAGATGCTGTACCTGGGAATGCTTCCCAACCTGTCACAGTATGTGGTGAGTGATTAATGATTAAATTCTCACCGGAGTTATTGACCTTTGTTTAATAAAACCAGCTCATTAAATCTTTAATAGTCTAACACAGAGTCTCAGTGGTTAGCAACTGTCTCTGTACTGGTTTCAATCATATTTCTGATAGCACTTCGTGCTTCTTTTTTTTAGCTAGCATTAAATTATTGCACATTATCTCATATGAAATGTGTTTTGTGGAGGACAAAAAAGCTTACAAGATTTTTAAGAGGGTACTGTAGAAACTTGAATGATTAGCCTGTTATTATTCCTCTATTTTTGTGTTCTTTTTTGCATCAGATTGCCCTCCTGAAGCTACTGCTCGCTGCAGCTCCGACCTCCAAAGCCAAAACGGACTCCATCAACATCCTGGCTGATGTGCTGCCTGAGGAGATGCCGTAAGTACTGCAGAAAGACTGCTGGGATCCTTGACTGTCTTTCTTTTCTTTCCCCTACCCGTGCTGCTGTTTTTTTTTTTTCTTTATTTTGTCATGATGCTGTAAATATCTAGAGCCATATTTAGATGAGACAGTTTTGAAGAGTAAACACACTTTTGCTAATAATGCTCAGCGATAATTAAAAAAAGATGCAGTGTGGAATAAAAAGAAAGAAATTCTCTCGGGAGCATCTTTGCACTGCTGTTTATGTACGATTTATTTTTATTTTTGTCTAATTGCTTGGCAAGAAAAAAAACAGCCTGCTTTTCTTATGGATTTTCTTGGCTGTTAGCACTGGTGGAAATGCACTACTTGTGGGTTGTTCGTGGTCTGTAGGATGGCTCTGTTTTAGATTCGCTGACACGCCAATGAAAGGAGAGACAGTTTTCCTGATGCAAAAACACCCACTCAGAAAAAAGAAAGATGTCTGATATTTTCATGGCTGAAATCCATTTCTTTCTTTTTTTTTTTGTGAGCGTGTTTTGAAACTACGCACTCGCTCACCTGCCTGAGCTGGCAGCAGAACCATCAGAAGGCCATACAGGGTGCCTGGGTTCAAGTCTGCCCCAGTTTGTTTCCTGCGTGTCCTCCAGTTCTGTCCTGGCTAAAAAAAAAAGTTTTTTAAAAAGCCCAAAATAAATCTTATTCGGTCTCCTTCTGTGCCTGTCACTTTGTCAGAGAAGTGATTATACTGTTAAAGACCCAAAGGCCTTACAGTTACAGCGTGTGTTTCTTTTAGTATCACCGTCCTGCAGAGCATGAAGCTGGGAATCGATGTTAACCGGCACAAGGAAATCATCGTCAAGGCCATCTCTGCTCTGCTGCTCCTGCTCCTCAAGCACTTCAAACTCAACCATATCTATCAGGTTACACACACACACACAGACACCTTCACTGTGCCCTCCTACATACACCTTAACTTACTTTTCCTCCTCTTACATGTCACCTCTCTTCCCTGATAAAATCCATACACCTCCCCCACTGTAACCTCCCCAGTCCTGCGCCTGATTAATCAGTCAAGTGTGCCATCGCTTTCTCCATTTCATCCTCCTCCCCCCCTCACACGTTTGTAGCTTTATCTTCACTCACAACTCGCAAACCCCTGACTCAGCCACACAGACTCGTAATTGGAGTTCATCTCAGTGAGGACGTAAAACTCACTGAAAAATGATTCATCCTCATTTCTGGTGCTTAGTATCTCACTTTTTTGTTGCTTCAGTGATTATGAATTTTTCTGATGCTAGTAAGGGATATCTACATAGTTGAAAAGCTGCTCTGTAAACTTAGAATGATAGCGCCCTCTGTTGCAACTAAAGGAGATTACATGCTGACACAATTTTGAAGGGGAAAGCGGCTCCAGTGGGAAGCCAAATCGGTTGCGGATTGTTTGAGACCCACACAAACTCGGCATTGAGATGAATACTGTAGCTTCAGCATGAGAAATGACCCCACTTGGCTCCTGATCTTTTCCACACTCAGCAGTAATATTGGGTTGTTTTTTCCCCACACCCCCCAATGAAAAGTCTGAAATGTGTTGCATTATTTTTACTATTATTGACTGATTGATTGGCTTTCCTTTCTTTCAATACATATCACTAAATGTAACCGTTGCATTTTCAGCCATGGCTCTTCTCCAGACTGTTCCTCACTGCCGCCTCCTCTTTTTTTCCCTGCAGTTTGAGATTGTCTCCCAGCACTTGGTGTTTGCCAACTGTATCCCACTCATCCTCAAGTTCTTTAACCAGAACATCATGTCTTACATCAGTGCCAAAAACAGGTAGGATCCTTTTCTCTCATCCTTTCGACTTACAGCGCCATTTACGTCACCATATTCAACCTCCGACGATCAGTCGCACAAGCATCTGTTTGTGTAATAACCTAAAAGAGGTTCATACAGATTCACATTAAGTTACAGGTGACAGGTTGATCTGCAGAGTTATCAGTTTTTGTCTCTCGTTGTTTGTTTCTGTGTTTTCACACTATAGTATATGTGTGCTGGACTTTCCCCATTGTGTGGTCCATGAGATGCCTGAGCTTACAGCTGAGAGCCTGGTGAGTCACACTGATTGAGCCTCAATGAGTAATAGTCAGCTAAGAACGTAGCGCTCGCTGTTTAATGATGATCTCGGTGTCTCCACGTGTGTTTTCAGGAAGCCGGAGACAGCAGTCAGTTCTGCTGGAGGAATCTGTTTTCCTGCATTAATCTGCTGAGAATCCTGAACAAGCTGACCAAGTGGAAACACTCGAGGACCATGGTGTGTAAATCTGCATTAGTCTGCGTCTCATAAGGAAGCCTTAGGTTGGAACACCCACCTGAATTCAATATCTTTATATTGAATGCAAAGTGATATTTGCCTCCTTACTAGTGTGCATCCTGTTAAAGGGACATTTAGTTTGTAAGATTCCTTCAATTTGCTTCATTATATTTAATCTTTCTTTCAGATGCTGGTTGTTTTCAAGTCTGCCCCCATCTTGAAGAGGGCTTTGAAGGTGAAGCAGGCCATGATGCAGCTCTATGTTCTCAAACTGCTCAAGATTCAGACCAAGTACCTGGGCCGCCAGTGGAGGAAGAGCAACATGAAGACCATGTCGGCTATCTACCAGAAGGTCCGGCACAGGCTCAATGATGACTGGGCCTATGGAAACGGTAAATAGCAGCTGGCAGAAGTAGTATGCTGGGATTTGTTGAAACAGGGATTTTCTGCTTACATTTTGAAAAATATCACGAAAACCCCCAAAAATCTGAAAATACTGGCCAATCAGAAGCTACAAATAACACTGTGCACGGAAGCTCCGTTTTCACTGACCTAAAACATTGTTTATGTGTGGACGAAAGGTCAAAAAACACGTCTCATGGGAAGAGAATATATCCTTGTGTACTGGGGAACAGCCATCTGTTTGCACAGTTCAGTTTGATTTACTAAAGACCAGTTTATGTTTTGTGACTCGTGTGCTCTCTGGGTTTTATTTCATTTTTACTCCTTTTAACACTTTGTCTAGGAATTTTTCTTTAGCCAATTTTTATCCAATTTGGAGCAACTGATATGTGATTTTGGGGACAGATACAAAAAAAATCCTTTAATAAATATAGCAACGCATATTCTTTATGTATAATACACATACAGTATATCTAAACCATAAAGTTACTGTAACTTAAGTGAAGAAGGCATTTGTTCTGCACCATTCAGCTTTGATGACTCTCTGCTACCTGTGCTGCAGTGCTGAACACATAGAGCAACCTCTGCTGGACAAACGCTGTTATAACAGCACTTCCAAATTCAGATTTTCTGCAGTGTGCTTTAAAAAAATGTCAGTATGCATTAATATGTCTATGATAAGCCAGTGTCTGACTCTTAGTTCACAGTGACAAAGTACATTAGCTAAAAGAAAAGATAATGTAGTAAAAATATAAATAATACAAATTAAAAATCCATCCATCCATTCGCTTCCGCTTATCCTTTTCAGGGTCGCGGGGGGCGCTGGAGCCTATCCCAGCTGTCATAGGGCGAGAGGCAGGCAAATTAAAAATCTGATTTAAAAATGCAAAATAGAATTTTCTAACAGCGTTTTAATGGGAACAGCTGTGACAGTTTTATTGTATGCTTTATGATGATGACACAGGGTACTTATTATGTTAGTCAAAAACTGTCGAGTGGAGCTTAGTAAATTGTAGTCTGATAGGCTGGAGTCACAGATTAAATTAGGAACATCCTGCAGCATTGCTCAGAATACATTCAGTTTAGCCTTTTAGATCTTCCTAAACGAAGCAGTCACAGAGCTAATTGGCCCCAGCAGTGCTCCTCACTCAGAGCTGATGAACAGAGAGGAGACTGCAGCATAATGAACATGTGTACCCGGGGCTGTGAAAACAGGAACGTTCAGGGTAGTTACTGCATGTATGTGGGTGTTTGTGCAGCTGGTTGCATGATTCCTATACTGTCATATATGTGTGTAGTACAGTTGTCCAGCAGCCAATGGCAAACTGTCTGGTTTGTGTTGCTATGGCAACACGGATGGGGGTGGCAGTGGGGTGGGGGGACTTTTCAGGGTCTCCATCCCTGCTGGGAGAGCAAGCAAGCTGTCACTGTGAGCGTGACAGAGAGAGCGGGAAAGAGTAGGAGATAGAAAGAAGAAGCAGGCACTTAAATTCAAATTGTGTAAAAATCGCAGATATCGACGCACGGCCGTGGGACTTCCAGGCAGAGGAGTGTGCCCTGCGGGAGAGCATCGAGAAGTTCAACAGCCGCCGCTACGAAAGGAACAGGAACGGAGATTTCGCGCCCGTGGACAACTGCCTGCAGAGCGTGCTGGGCCAGCGCGTAGAGCTGCCGGAGGACTTCCACTACAGCTACGAGATGTGGCTGGAGAGAGAGGTCTTCTCGCAGCCAATCCAGTGGGAGGGCCTACTACAGAATCCATAACGTACGGGGAGGGAGGGAAGAGAGGGGGCATGAGGGCGTGGGGTGGATGTAACTGTGCGAAGGTCACACATTGAGCCTCTTGGGAGTGGTTTAAGGAGGTTGTACCAAGCAGCGCCAGCGGGAAGAAGGAGCTGGCAGCTGCATGCAGCAATGGAAGAAACGACAAGAGGATCAAAGATGAGTTGTAAAATGGATCCAATTAAAGAGTGCCACACACTGACATGTGCCTATAACTACTATGAACACACATGACCGGCAAGAACAGAGGTAGCAGTTATAAGAAACACCTGGTATCGCTGTAGCAGGAAACTGTTTTTTTTTGGCCAGTTATACTGCCCCGCCCCCATGTTAGACAACAAAAACATCGATTTCTACACCATGTCCCTTTTTTTAACACGTCGGTGCTCTTCTGATTCCTCAGTGATGTTTTCCTCTTTATTTGTATCAACGTGTGTTCTAAACATTACGTGATAAATGATTGTTTGAAAGAACCTTTTTTTAAATTTAACACAGAGCCTACTGTAGGTATAGAGATTGTGGCTTGTCGGTGATGGGTTTAAACATTTCTATTATATATTTTGTATAAAAGAGAAATGGAGCCACAGGGTTATGATAGTCCAAATGTAGAAATGGGAGCTCTTTGCTCCGAAGGCACCAAAAAAACTAAAGAGAAGTATACCAGCGTATTAGTGTATGGGTTTGTTCTGTGGATGTGTAAAAGTCTTTGTGTGGAGAAGGAAATCTGAAAAAATGGGAGATGTGAGTTTAAAAAACAAAATGTTTTGTCCTAAAAAAATATATATCTGTATTTTTAAGTAGAAAATTAACCTTATATACAGAAATCCTGCTATTCCAAATATCTTAGCTTCATTTTTAGCAACGTCAAACCTATAATTACTGATGTCCTCCAGGGTTTGTTTCGATACATGTCGTGAGAGATGAAGAGGTCACAGAAGCTAATTGGATGTACTTTTTATCAAAACGCTTCAGTTTTTCATATCACTTTGAATGAAGCTGTAACGCTACAGTCACACTGGGGAAAACATTGGTTGGAGGTCGCAGTGTGACCACAATTATTGCAACCGTGTGCAATGAACTTGCTTTTGAAATGGTTCCTTCAAAAGGTGCAGACCAAGCCTGCAACCACTCACAGTCAGTCGCTGTCTTCAAAGCCACTGTGGTGTGCCAAGAACAAAGATATTGACGAACCAGCAACAAGATGGAGTCAGTCTTCTATCAGTCTGTCACTGAATATGGTCAAGTTGGAAATTAAATGCAATGCGTTTGTGATAATAAAGCAATCAGCTAAGATAAATCAGTGAAAACTGCAAATCTGTTGCTATCTACAGACACAGGACATCACTGCTTAGATTAAGAGTCCAGCCAGAACCTCAAAGATCTGAAATACAAATTCAGAAATGGTGACGTAATTGCTGCAGGACAGCAATTTTTACTGAAAATTACACAGGAATTTAACAAAATGCAGTCAATTGAAAGCCAGTTGTTTTGAGTTCTCTGTTGAAAACAAAACAAACTGGCTCAGATTGCAACATGTTGGTAATTTGTCTGCATTTCTAAACGGACAATAATTTGCAAACCTTTTTCTGTTTGTCTGGCAGTCAGTCTTGAATTGGACAACGACTGTTTAAAAACAGGTTTTCTCCCGGCAGGCGACCTCGGCAGTTACAATTGGGACTGGTTGCACAGACGTAGGGGCGTTGCACTCTCGATCTCCCCAGTGGGTCACCACAAATGCTTGCAATTGGTTGGCGAATGTGAAAAATTCAGTGCAGCTCCTGGGCAATTATTCATTTCTCCCAGTCACAATGAGGTTATAGTTGTAGTTTCACTCAAGTGTGACTGAGCCATAATATGACCTGTGTATCACTTGTTTGAATTTGTTATTGACTGTGGAATGGGGAAGGTTTTTTTTACCTATATGGAAGACCAAAACTGCCAAGATTAGAACTAAATTAAAAAAAATGAGTGACTCAGTTAATTAATATTCTTTAAAATATACCAAAAATATAGGCATAGCATTTATTTACTCGTGCATTTATTCTCATATTTGCCAATTTATCCATTTATTTCTTGTTGTTCATTTGTTTATTTATCCATTTATTATGTTTCAACTACAACCTTTTCATTTCTCAATAAATATCTTCTTATGTTATGCAAATTGAGCAGCTGTAATTTCAAGTTCATCATAAGATCATCGTCGTGTCTTTTGGTTAGTTAATGCCAGGCTCAACTTGAACAGTCAGAAAGCTGCTTGAAATCGTAGACACTAAGGCGGAAATAACACTGAAATACATTCACAATTTAAAACAAATATTTTTAGTAAATTCCATCCATTCTCTTCTGCTTTTCCCTGTCAGGGTCACGGGGGGCTGGAGCCTGCTATTTTTAGTACATGTTTAACAAATTGATTAAGGATTTAAATTTAATTGGAAATAAATAAATATGTGCAGTATTTGAAAAACAAGTCCAAAATTGTCTTTAAAAAAAAAAATCTTTGTTTCCTAAATGTCAAAGCTTTGACGTTAAAGTCTATTTTTCTTTGTTTATTTTCTATGACTTTACAGCTTCGGGATGTCTTTGGATTATTGTGGTAACAATGCAAACAGAGAAATACTCAAACAAATATTAATACATAAACAAACACAAAATAGTTTCTCTCAATGCACCAGAAACCTATTCAATAAAAAACATTTTGAGACATAGTTCTGACAGATATTTGCAAACATTATTATTCAATATTATGGACATATTGGAAAGTCCACAAGTCTGTCTTGATCGTGTCTTTTCTTGGCTGTTGTGAATAGAGAAATTTACACACACAGAAGAAATTCAAATAAAATAATGTAATTGTCCCTTTTTATAACTAAGTTAAGGCAATTTAAAAGGTTTTTCATCTAAATAATGGAGCATTTTTTTTTATTGATTGTTTAGTTTGGCACTCTTTGTCCTCCACAGACTTAAAGGTCGATAGTGTGTCTGTTTTGTCTTGGCACGCCACAAAGAAGCAAGACATTAAAAACCAAACAAAAAATGTTTTATGAAGTGTTTCCAAAAGTTGTAATTTGTTTATTTTAAAGCAAAAAGACCTCTAGAGTGAAAACGAATTTGTTGTCTTGGCTGGACTGTGTCTGCTTGCTTCCCTGAGCTTTTCTATCGAACCATCTGGAGTTATTCGAACCCATGATCGGAACAGTGGCCATTCCGTTAACTGACGCCCCACTTCCACTCAACAACAGCACAACATGTGAACCACACTGGTGGTGGCGGTTGTCACAATAATGGTGCTGCTTTTCCAGTTTAGTGCAACTTCCTGTAGATGCGACTGCCTAAACGATGCTTCAGAGGTGAGCACCTTGATTCCTGGATATGTCTTTACTTAAGCACACAAACAAGCACAAAGGACAAAAAGCATGTACTTTTGTTTTTGTACAATTGTTGATTGTTTCAGATTGTTATCTACTTGCTTTGAGGGGTTACAAACTGTTACGTATTATCTCTGTATAGAAATAATTTTGATACTCAGTCTTGTTGAAATGTGCATGACCATGGTTCTGTTCTGTGTTCACGTGTTAATGTCTTTCCAGTCCAGTAAGAAAAGTTTTTTTTGTTTCTTGTACAGTCACTCGTACAGTGTTGTGCACCACACAGGATTCTGTTTTTGTTTTCTTCTTCAGGAAGGCGATATCTTTAACAATAATATTGTATACTTTATAGATTCTCAGGTTTATGGAGATGATATATATATATATATGACAACAGTTTTAAAAGCTTCCTTGCCATTCTCTGGCTCACTACCTGTAAAGAGGAATATACATTCTGATACACCTGAACCTCTAAACATTTACTGCATAAGCTGTGCATCGTCACAAAAACACAGTAGCTCATTGTGAGTGTTGGTCGCACTTAAAGTTCAGATGTAATGTTTATTTCTTTTTGTATCTTGTGCCAAATTTGAGTGCCATTTCCTGTTTTTATTCTCTTGTTTCTGCTATCTGCATTCAAGTCCATACTGAAGACTTGGAATGCAAAAAAAAATGTTGTTTTTTTTCTACCTGAAAACTGTACAATCAGTGAAAATTGCCGTTTATTGTATCTAGGGTAATATTTCACCAGAAGTGTTTAGTATTGTATGGACGTTATTACCGTATATATGTGTTTTTTGTTACTCACACTTCCATATCTGCATATTCTAGATCCAGTAAATACTCGACACTGAAGATGTTCAGGGGTATGTGCAATTACACATCCATAGAGGCATTATACGATAGAGTGACAGATTACGATATCAGAGTTGCAGAGTTGCTTATTAAACAGTGTTGAACACTTGTGTTTGTTTGTCGACTCATTTTAATTTGTCGGAGGGGTTATGTGGGGCAGAAAGCCAGTTCACACACAAAGCTGTGTGTACACACACTGAAGGTCAAAATGACCACATACTCACTCTTCCCCAGGACAATGTTCCAGCAGTTTGGGTACAGCTGTTATGGATGGGGACATGAGCCCCTCTGGGATTGGATGGTGGTGCAGTGATAATAAAATTACCCTGCACTTGTCCTTCACTCTCACAAAGAGTCAAGACACAGTATTGTAGATACTTGACTCACTTATGCCAGCGACTGTCACCCACTAATATATGAAGTGAAAGAAAATGTGCACAAGATCTTGTATGAAAAACAAAATACAGAAGAAGTTTGTTGTCTGATGCAGTTACATTTTAATGTTATAGATATATGTGCCAAAGTGTGGTATTTGTTTTGCCTAAAGATTGTGTTCCAATTTGAGTCCAAGCGCTGCTTTGCCATGGAACTCCCCCGTCCAGAACAGTCCCTGTGCGCTAATGAAGGCCCCATCTCCCTCCAACCTGGAACACACCAGTAAAAACAGCTAAAATCTTCAATTTCATCTGCTTGAACCAAACGAAGCCAAAGAACCGAAGAAACAACAACTACTGGGTTACACAATATTGTAGCTAAACGCGTACAATAAATAAAAATAAGGAAAGATAAATTTCAGTCTGGTCTGGATACAGTTCATCCAAACAGTTGTTGTTACCATATATTCTTTCAATTTATTATGTCGGGGTCCTGGGGTTTGACCTATGAAGGAAGTTTAACATAGCCAGGTTTCCTTTGTGTTAGCTGGCTTAATCAAACCTAAGAACTCCAGCTGGGAAAAAAACGGGTACTTTCTGCCTCATGCTTGACTATTCTTAAGACTAAAAAAGATTAATTGAGCAGAAACCACTCCAATCACAGAAATTGTCACATGAACAGAATATAAAGAATGTGGAAATATGCAAATAAAGATGTAACTAATCAATGTTCTACTCTGTGTTCAAGAAGCTGCAGCGTAAAATTGATTTAGAGCAGGTTGATTTATGCTTTTTTTTATATCACCAGCTGAGATCATTTAAATTCCTCTTTTGGTTCCTGCTTTGATTTTACTGTTATTCAAGTCTTCCTAGTGTTTCCCTGACTTCCCCACTGTTTTGTCTATGTAGTAGCACCTTCTACTTATTATCATGTTTTAGTGTTAAGTCTTATTATTTCAGTGTTTATAATTTGTTCTTTAGCTATTTCCTGCTTTACTTTGATAGTTGGTTTCCTAATATGTCAGGTTTCACTCTTTCATTCGCGCCTGCTTCTCTGGTTGTGGTTGTCTTTGCTTGATTACTTTCACCTGTGCTTGGTTCCCCACCTGTTTCTCATCCTCAGTCGATCACTTGTGCATATATACTGACCTGTTTTTCAACCTTGTCATTGTCATATCTTTGCGTTGGCTATATTTTGGTTCCCAGGTTGGACTGTCTAATCATAAGATTAGAAGAATCCAGTTTGAATTTAGGATTTTTTGTTTGTTCCCACATCCTGCATTTGAATCGTCCCCATACTAAGCAATGTAACTTTAAATCTCATCTGATCGTCAGGTGCTTTAAGAACTGTACTAGGTTTGTCTGGGATTTCTTGTTTGGTCAATTGCATCTCCTGTGCAAACTCCCAAATGACATGTTTGTGTCTTTTAAAATAAAAACTCTCATATAATAGTTGTCTTTAATATTTATCTGATTTTTTTTCCAGAAAATATTTTTAAAAAGGCATTTTTTTTACCTGTTATTATGAAAGTGACCTTTACACATAGAACCATCTGGGAAGGTGTATGTTCCTGTGCCGTTGTACATGTTGTCTTTGAATTCTCCTTCATATTGTGCTCCAGAGGGATACTGCATGGTCCCTCTACCATGCATCTGGGAGAGCGACAGAGAGGGAGATTATGTTTGTTTAACCACATGGTAAAAATAACTGATGTTTGAGGCAGTAATTGCATACTTTGTCCTCATGCCACTCTCCAGTGTATGTGATGCCACTTGCTGAGGTGTGTTTACCAGCACCGCTCCTCACCAGTGCTCCATATGCAGACCTGCTGCACTCTCCCTCTGTGGAGAACAGAGGTTCATACATAATTAGCATAGACTTAAATTTCATCTGAGCAGTCACATTGAGGCATTGTGTATTGCTTTAACCAAGAATTAGGTCTCTTCTTCCCAAGATTTTTACACGTGGAAATGTTTCACGTGTAAAGCTGGATCATCAGCCAGCTATAACTTACCATATCTGTCTCCGTTTGGAAAAATGTAGGAGACTTTTAGAGGTCCACCCCCTGTAAACAAATACACATTTATTCACGCTGTCACAAGAATGCGCAAACTGTGGCGCGAAGAGGATATTTACCATCAGTGTTCAAAGAATCGCTTCCTTTCTTATCTGAAAATGAAAATCACACCGAATCAGAACAGGGTTTGTGTGTGTGTGAGTGTGCGCAGACTAGGTGTTAGAACTCATATCTTCACAATCACACTCTACCAGACATCCGTGACAGCTTCCCCCAGCTGGCAGATGGTTGTCAGAGCCGAGAGCAAATGCTGTGTTCTGGCCAACTTCTTCAATGTGAAAAGTCAGACAGCTGATTAGAAAGTTGTGACTATGACACAAGCTACAACCGCACTGTAACTGTTCACTTTTACTTGCCCTTAAATGGAGCTAATGCTGCCAGTAAGCCGGGGGTCCTGTGTTTTAAAGGCAGCTAGAGGCTAGCCCTTGTTACCATAGTTACGGAATTGGTGCAAAGTAATATCTTTAATGGCTTGTGCGACGCTCTAAATGCGTTTTATTAAACTACCGTTTTTAAATAACAAGAAGAAAGGCTTACCGCCGCTAAAACCTTCGACTTTAACCTTGTCGAGTGACCGAGAGATACTGTTTGCTAACTTTTTATTGTGTTTTTTTTTCTAAGCGCGAACGTAAACCGGAAAAGAAACGTTGAACTCAAGAGTTTGGGCCAATAGAAGAGATGCAGGCTACCGGTGGTCAGAGCAGCTGGTTCAGGTTTGTTCGCAATTGTTATTAAAGTTTCGTTTTTCAGTTTATTGCGCACTTTACCGATTATAACACGGCTCTATACTTTTTGACATTTTTAAAGCATTTAGATTCACTGACTTGCCTTGCCGGGAGGCTTTTTTCAGTTAGCTTACTGTTACATTAAAAGTGATGAGTGTGCTTGCTAGCTGTTAGCTCGTTAGCTAGCCGACTCCTTATACTTGAAGATGATTAACGTGCAGCACCTTACTTCCACATTATTCCTTATATGTTCTGGTCTTTTGTACTTTGCCTGTAGCCAGCCACCTAGCCGTGGGGTTAATCGGTCATCGCCCTGACTGGGTTGTTAGTCTGCACGTTAAGTTTGATTGCATAATTGTAGCCACCAGCGCTGTGTGTCAGCCACCATCTCATTGCTCGCACTTGAATTGAATTGAAGTGCCAGCCAGCCCACAGCGATGTGTGACTGTGCTCTGCAGAGGGTGGACAGTAGTAGCTGCCTGCTCTTCCCGGGTCCGCAACCAGTAGCTCTCTCTCCCTCATCTAGGTTTTTTTTTGGGGGGTATACTCCCAGGGTTGGAAAAATTTATTCAGACCATGCTTTTTAATGTCTCTTTTCGCAGATTGTTTTCTGCTATGATTGGACACTGATTGAGTGTAAGTATATTCTGACAGCAGTGATTTTTTTTTTCTTTTTTAATAGTCAATTTTGTATTTGTACTGGTGTTTATGTAATGAAACTGTTCGTGTGTCCTTTGGTAGAGAAATGAACGCAAGGAGAAGAGGTGGGAAGCCCAACAGAGGAGGTGGAAGATTTAATAAACAAAGAGGAGGAGGAGGAAATCGGAAAGGAGGAACCAGGCTCTGGGATGACGGGGATGATTTCAACCTTGATTTTGGACCCTCTTATTTCAGCAGGTGTTAATTTATATTGAAGAAATATTTAGGTTTGTGTGCTCGGCTTCAGTTGATTTCCTATCATTTTGCCTCGTGTCTCATTCTGTCTGCAGATCAAATAAAGGACGAGGTGGTGGCGCCCATGCTGGTGGCAGGGATGGTGGTCGAGGAGGAAAGAAAGCTAGAGATCGAGACCGAAATGGGAAAAGTAGTAGCAAGGCTCTGCCAAGGTCCTTGACGAGTACCAGGATGCACTCAAAGGTCAGTGAATGCATCAGACCAGAGGTGAGCAGTATGCCGTTGCAGAAGATCTTCATGACTAATGCGAACCAGGAACAACTCAAGGAGTTGCTGAGGATTTTACAGACACAGGACTCTGATGAACTGTATGAGTAAGTACATACGCACTTGTTTGAAAAGAATAATTAGAAAGCTAGGAAATAAACTCATGCAACCCTCTGTTTGTTCCTTAGTGATTCTGGTTCAGATTATTCCGGGCTAGATGAGGAGGAAGAAGAGGAATTTGATGAATTGGATTACCGTGAGGAAGGCCAGTTTTGGGCCACAAATGATGAGCCTGTGCAGAAAGCAGAGAGCCCAACATTTGACCTAGAATATGAGGATGAACAGCCCAGCCCTGAACCTGTTATCTCCTTATTTGCCATAGGAAAGCTCTGCAGGTGATTTCAAATTTTGTTTTATTTCCAGAACCTTACCTATGAGCTAAATCAGATGTTCTGAATCGGTGCTTTTGTGTGTAAATATAATTAGCTTCTAACCCATTGCTTTCTCATAATTTCCTCTGTGTAGATATGGTTTTGACAGGGAGCGCAGCAAACAGGCGCTGGAAGCTGGTGGAGGAGAGTTTGGGGCAACTTTGGAACAGCTCCTCCAACAGATTTTCACTGAGCGCTATGGTCAGAAAGCAGTTTCCCCTGATGGACTTGATGAGGTGCCTTTGGATGAGTGTGTAAACCAAAAGCAGGAGGAGGCCTTGGCTCTAGCTGCTATTTATGGCGATCGCTTCAGTGAGCGCATTGCCAATGCTGTATGGACAGTAACCCTGGACCTGTCGTTCCTCTCACGATCTCCTGTTAAGAAAGGAGGAGTGGTAGGTGGAGGAGCTCCAAACATCGGTGACATCTGCAAATTCTACATGAAAGGTCAAGGCTGCCGCTATGGAAACAAATGTTGGTTCAAACATGAATTTCCCAAAAAAGACATGTCTGAGGCTGGTTCCTCGGACCTGAAAGGCCCAGGCCAGCCTGGTGTCAGCAGCTATTCTCCTCCTGAGTATGAGCTGGAAGTTCGTTTCCCCAAAGGGAACCGTTACCCTTTTCAAGCACCAATAGTTGCCTTCAGTACCAATGATGAGTCTCTCTGCGCTGCGGGGAGGCTCCATGTGACTGAGAGATTACTTGGAGAGGCATTGTCTGCAGCAGAAAGCAACCAGCCTGTTGTTTACACCCTGATAACCTTGTGTGAGGATGAAAATACCATGAAAGAACTATTGTCCATACGGCATCACAAATACAGCACCCCACCTCCTGTGATTGCTGTTCCTCCACCCTTTCTTGCCATAGCAAAGAGTAAAACTGTAAGGAGCAAAGCTTCTGAGGAGAGCATGAATGCCATCACCAGCAGTAGTAACCATGCAAACAGCGGGAGTGCTGCTGCATCTAGCAACCCAAGGACCACAGATAGTAAGTCGGATAGAAATGTACATTTTTGCTATATATTTTCTGTCGTTTCTTTATACAATAGAGAGCTGTATTTAATTCTGCTCACTTTTTAGTAAAACGGACAGTGGATGCAGAAGAGCTGGATGAGAAAGACGAGGATGAGAGGGACCACGCAGTTCCAGTTAAGAACGACAGTTACGTCAAGCTAAAGAGGAACATGGTGAAAAAGCACAATACGATGGGCAATCTGCTGCTAGAAAACAGCAAGCTGTGCAAAGAGTTCAGTAGGAAACAGGTGGGTCTTAGGAAAAAAATGTGTATATTTTTTTTGGTTTTTCTTCCTCCAAATCCTTCTCAGTATGATGCATCCTTTGTAATCTGTTTCCGATTTCCTTTGGTTCCTCTGTCAAACCAGTCCTCCAGACGCTACAGTTCTATGCTTGAACAGAGGAAGAATCTTCCAGCTTGGCAAGAGAAAGAGCACATCCTAGATGTACTGGACCAGTGTCAGGTGCTGGTGATCAGTGGCATGACTGGGTAGGTCCCAGAGTTTTACCGTGACTTATAAATTAAAGAAAAAATATATTTTAATGATACTGATCCACCCTTTCAGCCTTTTTTCCCCAACCAATAGCAAGTCAAATGTGATGTATGGATATATGAAGGGTTTTAGCTTGTATGGAATTAAAAACATTTACATCAGATATATTAAAATTGAAAGTTTATAAATGAGATCTACTATGGCTTTCCTTACTTTTTGTCATATCTGCTGTTATATTGTTATAATTATTTGAAGTTTTAAATAATGAGATCAGTGTATCGTCTCGAAAGATGTACCCTTAGGACAGAGAGGAACGCTGGTTTGAGCGCGGAGTCAAGGAGGCCATTTACGTGAAAAGGGAAAAACCATCTCTGAATCGAGGAGGGGGCCTAAGGGTACATCTTTCGCCATCTTACAATGCTGTGATTGCAGCCATTCCCCAACTCTCTGTGAATGGTACTCATGGCCATTGATCAGTGGGTTTTGGTCAGTGGTTGTTGAGAATTTGGTCATGAGAAATGGTCATGAGAATTTGCATAATTATGATTAAGGAACTGACCTCCCAGCCCATTGTTCCTTCAGCAGGCTGGTTTCAGTTATTATGCAAATTTACTGTTTATAAGATTTGGGAAAACCTGCAGTCAGCTGAGACTGAAGAAGTCACTTGGATGAGTGACGAAACGTTTCTCCCACAAAACGCTACGTCCAGATGAACAGAATCAACTTTTGGAGAGATCAGTGTATGTACATAGGTAATCTCAATGAACCAAAAGCTCAGGTTTCACATTGTTCTAAACTCTCATTCTTTTGTAGTCTGGGTTTTGTATGAAAATGGTTAAGGATAAATGGTTCAATTTGATCATCATATAATATAAAAATCATATATAAACTTAGACAGAAACCTGCTGTGGCTGAACAGATGGCCTATACCAAAGTCCAGTGTAAGCTTAATATAAAAGAGGACTCGAGTTTGAAAGAAGTATAAAAATTCACCTTCACAAAAAAGATGCTAAACATGCCTGTGATTATTGCCTGTTCCTAAACATGACTGTGTTTCATGTGTTTTTTTTTGTTTTGTTTTGTTTTTTTATTAATGTGACTTTTCTGCAGGTGTGGTAAGACCACTCAGGTTCCTCAGTTCATTCTAGATGCCTCTTTGAGTGGCCCCGCGGAGCAGGTGGCCAACATCATCTGCACGCAGCCTCGCCGCATTTCTGCCATGTCAGTGGCTCAGAGAGTGGCACAGGAGCGCGCAGAGTGTCTGGGGAACTCTGTGGGCTACCAGATCCGCCTGGAGAGTGTCAGGGTACAGATACAGATATAAAAACATCTACAATACAGCATTCTGGTTGTCTGTTTTTTTTTTTTTATATTAATACTATATACTCTTCCAACACTGACTGCTCCTTTTATCAGACTTCAGTCACCAGGCTGCTATACTGCACCACAGGGGTGTTGCTGAGGAGACTGGAGGGTGAGGCAGACCTCAGAGGAGTCACGCATGTCATCGTGGATGAGGTGCACGAGCGAACAGAGGAGAGGTGAGACAGAAATACTTCAGCTTAATGGCACTTGTATTGTAACATGTGGAAAAATGAACCTGGAAAAAAAAATTTTAAGCTGCTTCTTTGTTTCTTGTCTCTTAATTTGTTATTTTCAGTGACTTTCTGCTTCTCGTGCTCAAAGACTTGATGGTGCAAAGGCCTGACTTGAAGATTATCCTCATGAGTGCCACTCTTAATGCAAACCTCTTTTCTGACTATTTCTATAACTGTCCTACTATCCACATACCAGGTA